TCTACTAGATGCTGTTTTTCTATGTAACGTTACTATATTTTGCTAATAGATATTTGGAAGGAATCGAAGATTGGATTAGATACGCTTCTGAATCTAATATGTACAGGTATTGTGCTATACATAAAAGATATTACTATTGTCAACTACTTAAGTAAATACCATAGTACGGGATACGAGGCCTATTTCATCAAATCATTTTACACCGTCTTGCATTGTTATCATCAGTTAGATAACATGATGCTGAAACGCACTTGTGCAGGGAAATAGATGGGAGTGGGGGATTTCGCTGAAAAAAATATTTCAGAAAATGTCGTCATAAACAAGGAAAATATATAATTATACACCGTCTTGCATTCATTAATTGAGTCAATTTGTACACGAACAAAATTGGATTAGCACATGCAAGACGTTTTCATGGAGGTTTTGGAGTTGTAATATTAGATAGAAATTGTCAATTTTTCAGAGGGGTGAAATATCATTTTACACCACATCATGTTGATTTAGATTAAAGCTCAAATGTAGAATAGCCACTGGATACTGATGCAAGACGCCCTGTGGAGGGATAACGGGCTGCAAGACGGAGGTCAATGTGTTGTCTTATGAAGGAGTGAGAAATCATTTTACACCGTCTTGCACTGATACTAATGGGAAAAACAGAACACATTGATAACATTTTTAAAAATACAAGACGTTCTAAATGGAAAGAAAGGACTGCAAGACGGTGATGAAGTTGACTAATTTTGACGGGGGTCAATCCATCAGGTACAAAGGTGAATACTACTCCAAATTACAAATAACGCACATTAATTTTAAATATTTTTGCTCTTTACCACGTAGAATAATTCTATTTTGCAAAATTCTCTTAATATTATGTATATTTGAATGTCTCTATACGCACATCAAATAAGAAAAGGCTGAAAATTGTTCTTTTTCTGACGGCTTATAATCATTTAAGTTTTTTTAGGGTGGATATGCCATAACACATAACGGATTGTAACTATTAGCTAAATTTGAGAAATTTGGTTTTAAAGCAGCAAAAAAATAACAACAAATGATCTGTCCATAATTCCTGTATTCAGCAGACTCCCCTGTTGAGCTGCTATGTCAACTGTCCTTTTCCATCTGTATGATTTAGAAAAGAATGAACAGTGAACGGTTCAGTAAATAATTCAACAGTTCAGTTAAAAAAGAAAACGGATTTATTAACTTTTTTCCCCGAAAAACCGTCTTGGACTGATGTATTACCATTTCTTAACATATATTCTTCCAGCGGACATAAGCATGAAGTGGTGTAAAATAATTTCTCACTCCCTCATGAGATAACGCATTGACATTCGTCTTGCAGCCCGTTATCCCGCCACAGGACGTCTTGTATCAGTATCCAGTAGCTATTCTACATTCAAGCTTTAATCTAAATCAAAAAGGGAGTGGTGTAAAATGATTTTTCACCCCTCTCAAAAATTGACAATTTCCATCTTATATTACAGACCCAAAACCCCCATGAAAACGTCTTGCATATGTTAATCCAATTTTGTTTGTGTACAAATTACCTCAATAAATAAATGAAAGACGGTGTTTAATTATATATTTTCGTTGTTTATGACGACATTTTCTGAAACATTTTTTTCAGCGAAATCCCCCACTCCCATCTATTTCCCTGCACAAGTGCGTTTCAGTACCATGTTATCTAACTGATGATAACAATGCAAGACGGTGTAAAATGATTTGATAAAATAGGCCTCGTATCCCGTACTACCACTCTGTACATCAATTTTACTAAAGTGTGTCGACGAGTCAGCATTTATTTGGTATAAATACCGCGCCGAAATCCATTACCGGCAGACTAAGGCTAGTGCAAAGTACCTCAAATGGGAAAAGCCCCTCTAGCTAAGTCTCCTCCCAGTGCAAACCACCTTTAATCGAAAACGCCCTTATGGGAGTATTGAACGCAGCAGACTAGGTCCAGTGCAAACTACCTTTAATGGGAAACGCCCTTCTGGACCTGTCTCCAACCTAGCTTCTTCTGGGAGCATTGAACGCAGCAGACTAGGTCCAGTGCAAACTACCTTTATTGAAAAACGCCCTTCTGGACCTGTCTCAAACCCAGCTTCAGTCTTCGGTCACGCCAAGTGTACAGAGGGTACATAATACAGAGTGGCCTATAAGTAGTACGTCCCTCCGTAGAAGAGACGTCATGATACTATTTCTGGGGTAATATTATTATTATTATTCAATACATTATCTTATTATACCTATACCACGCGAGTTTCGTTTCTCTCTACCTGAACCCCATCTACGCCCCCAGGTGAAGCTCCTGTTGTGACGTTTCAGGACGAAACGTATAGGGGTTGTGACACTATCTAGTCGATATGGGCTGAGGTGAGACCTATAAGTCTATTTTTGCACTGTTACTTATTCATTATTTCAGAACTGTTAGTTATTGAGTGTTTGCTTTGGTTTAAGCACTATGGGAACTGACTATCAAGTTTTGTCTTGAATACTGACACTGAAGTTGCACTCATTGTTTGAGCTAAGAGTTGATTCCAGAGGGAAAAGACTGTTGCTAGAAAGTTCTCCCTACCCACTGTGGAGTAGTTTTCCTTTTTAAGTCTGAGACTGTGACCCCGGAGTCTCTGGTCTATGTTCAAGGCATGGAGGTGTCTAACTGTTTGAATGTTGTGGGGTGTTTGATAGGTGCGACGATAAGATCTCTTGATTTTCTATTTTGAAAGCTGAGCAGTTCTTGTTGTTCTATCTTTCTTCATGTGTGAGTTTTCTTCTTCTCAACTTCAAGGTTCTTTCCTCTAATGAGATCTGGGTGCCGAGAAGCCTGATCAGCATATTTTAGGATTGGCTTGCAGTATATGTTATGTAGTTTTGTAAACGTTTCTTGGGTGATATACGGGAAGACTTGCTTTGGGAGAAATAACTTGCTGTTGGCATTTTTGCATATTGTTGTTACATGTACTGACCAGGTCAAGTCTTTGGTTATCAGAACTACAAGGTCATTGTGTTGCTGAACAGTGACCAGTATACTGACTTATTCATTTTCTGAGTTATTTTTCCCAAAATGGAGTACCACACATTTTTTCAAATTAAGGTGTAGTTGCCAGTCTTCACACCACTTTTCAATTTGGTTTGAATCATTCTGGAGCGAGAGAATTGTTGACGGGACCATAAGTTTTTGGATACAGAAGACAATATTTCTAGGAATGATAATTAACTGTGTGCAAGATCTTCAAACTGGAAAACGTAATAATTGCTTCCAGAATATTACTGTGGAGCTTTTTCCAGATGAACCCAACATTTCAATTAACGATTCATATAGGTTGAGACTTTCAAATGTCTGAAATGTTAGCTATATAATCTCTAATTTTCATCAACTTATAGGGTTGGTCATCGATTATTTTGGTAAGGCTAGAAAGAATCTTTTCATTCTGTCTAAAAGTTTATGTAAAATTTCATATATCTTCGTACAGCAATAACAGTGTATATTTGTTTTTTGATTCTCTTATAAGATTACGTCGTTCCTGGCAGAATTTTCCCACAATCTACTTAATTGGATTAAAGACAAATTGAGGGCAGAAAACTGTTATCAGCAAATTAACGGAGAGATTAGTCTCACAAAGCTGAATTTGAGAAATTGATTAGTTCTAAGGTTTTTAGAGCTTAAGGGTTTTTTTTTGCTGTTGTTCACTCTGTAATATTTTGTGAGGCTGTCTGTTTTTGGATCAGGCAATTCTATAATAATATTACATTCTATTGCTGAGGTCTCTCATATATTTGGAAATAAGCTACTTCTGATTGTAAGGAGTCTCAGGAGTCTATGGCTAAAGATCCAATGTTTTATTTTTCGTATTATTATAAGGGATAACTGCATATGGAAGAACGTTGAATCTGGATGTTCAGCTATATAAATACGAATCATCTCAGTTGAAGTTGCGTGGAATATTTCCAGCAATTTGTTGAATTATGGATGAGTTACGCTAAAAAAAAAACAGTTTCATGCATAGATTTCATGTCATAGCATTGACACAGAACTTTGAATAAGGCATTGTTGAATACACGTTTATATTCGCAGTGAATTCTCAAAGGCATACCAAAGTGGAAGAGTATTCACGAAATTGCATAGGCTCTAGAAACTTTGGTGAGTTCATCTCTAAATGTTAAGGAATAAATGGGATTTGACAATTCTAAAAGTTTCTGTTTTGGGAGTTTTAATAATGACGAGTTGAGTACTAAGATTTTATTCATGCTTTGATGAAGTTTAAGAGAACGAGGACTACTGTAACTGCCTCATTATTGTATACAAGGAAAACCATCAAGTAATTGAGTCCCCTCATCACAGTTTTGATAGATAAAGTAGTAATTTGATCAGGTTGGACTTAACTTCAAATAGATCAGAGCATCGATCGTCCAATAAGAAAGTGTCCTTAGAATCCTTACTTATTGGTGTCCTGTGTTAGTTTATTCAAAATTGACTTTAACTTAAAACAATATCTGAAATACATATGGAAATTGTGTATCTGCTGCATATTCATATTGCAAACTCAAACGCTTCGATACTCGGGCCCGTCCACACTGAATTAGGCTCAAAGTGAAATCTCTTTGATGTGAAGCTGAAAAGCCAACATAATAACGATGGTCACGGGGTTTTGTCATACATCTGGGCGCATCTTTATTTAATTTTAATCTAATAGGTTTTATTATCAATAAAACTCAGGGTACGCTATCTTTTGACATAGCAAGTAGGAAATTTGCTTAAAGCGTAGAGGGATTATTTATAAAGTACAAGTTACCATAATATAATGAAATTGCGGCTCCATAAATTGCTGAAGTATCAATATATCTCTGTTCCTTCCGTTTATATACATTCAACTACAACCATACAGGTCTTCATTCTGTTTAAATTTTTTTTTGCAAACTAAAAATAATTGTGGCATCACAAAAATGTATTGTGTGTGTGGCAATTGTGGCACCTGTGTGGCTTGTGATTGCAGTCGGTTACACCATGCGAGACATCCGCTATAAGTGGAACGAAGGCCCCAATTCGGTAGGGGTATCAAACGAGGTGTCGTTGCCCCAATTCAAAGTCCTTGGACACCGACAGAGGGCCATGGAGATATCGCTGACTACAGGTATATTGAAATTGAGTTTTTAATTTGATAGTATAAACAACGCTCTTATTGTTTGTGATGTGCTTCTATGTTAGTTTTATGTAATGAGAAACTATAGGGGTATAGCGCTTCACTGGTTAGAACTTTACCATGATATAACGTGGTAATTAATTTCATATTGGACTAAGAACAATCGCAAAATATTTGGAAAAACAACTATTAAATTTTATGGGGTGTTTTCATGGTCTCAAGTTATATTTGAGGTTAAAGAAAGACTTTCTCAATTCGAAAGGTTCGGAACCTACATATTTCGAGTAAAGAAGTTATCATCATTATTTCTTAAATGCAGAGACTGCTACTTATAAATTAAACTTATCCTCGTAAGTTTTATAAAATTATTTTATCCCAAACTATCGAAAACTTCTATTCCCGAAGCATGGTTTCTTACTATTAGAGTTTTATGCAAAACGACTTCTTTTGCCTTTTAATCTTAAATCTCTGGTCTATAAATACTTGCTATTCCCACAGGAAACTATTCCCGACTGGCCTGTGAGATTCAATTCGTCCGGTCGATGGGCTACTACCTAATCCAGATCTATATCCCGTCCGGGCTGATCGTCATCATATCCTGGGTCAGTTTCTGGTTGAACAGAAACGCCACACCGGCAAGAGTGGCGCTGGGCGTCACCACTGTATTGACCATGACCACGCTCATGTCATCCACCAATGCCGCGTTGCCAAAGATATCCTATGTCAAATCCATTGACGTTTATCTGGGGACTTGTTTCGTTATGGTTTTTGCAAGCTTACTGGGTGAGTATTTTTTTTATAGATTCTTAATTGTTTATAGAAAATCTAGATGATACTTTGTTAATGGGGTTTTAACACATCTATACACCAGGATCAGAACATTTCGTTATCAAGAGTCTAGTGGAGAAGTTATGCTTTAAACTTTAATTGAAACCATAGTTTAAGTCAGTCTGATGAAGTTACAACGTAGTGAAACATAGTGAAAATATATTAAAAATAAGTTTTACTTTTTCTTAACCATGGATTTCAATTACACCAAGTATCGGCTCAATCAATTCAATATGAGATCGGATTGATTATTTAATTATGTTCAACTCTGGGAAAAATTTGAACACATTGTTGATCCTTTAATGTAATATAATGAATGGGCTGAAAACCCAATTATAACCAATATGTATTAATTCCAAGAGTTTGTTGTTTATTGTGGAAAAAAAACAAAAAGAAAAAAAAAATGTGAATTCAAATTACAAAAATGTAAAAATACCTGATTTGCCTAAAAAACATCTATGTATTATTATCATCATTCAGTTTTTGTTCAACAGCACTGGGAACACATTTTTCCATTACATAATTCTCACAGGAGAATCATTATTCTTATTTAGGTTAAAATATCCTCTTCCTCGACGTGTGTTCTTTACATTATAAAAGAGATAAAAGTCAGGGTCTCAGTCGGACAGAGACAAAGAGACAGAGGATTCTATACGTCATAGAGAGCAGAGAGCGGGCGTATTCCCCATAGAGCTATTTCACTTATATGTCGGGGCCGTAGACTTTTGCCTTGGATTTTTCAACAATGACATTGAATTCTAAAATTTGGACTTCAGAATAAATATACTTTTTTTGAAAAATAATATAGGTGCCTAGTTAACTATCTCTGGCTGGTTTTAGTTCGTTTACCTAAGAATTCAAGCACAAAAATGCCAGTTAACATTAGCAAGAGTGAAAGGGTGCGTGCTCGAAAGCACTCTATCGAGAAATCCACGGAAGTATATAGACTTTTATAGGGCCCTTTATGAATTCCGAGATTTTAAAAATGCAACACCACTTTAACTTTGGCGAGGCCATTGAGAGTCCTCCGGTCGGGGTAAATAGAAAGTTTTCGGGATTACGTTTTCTGATATGAGGGATTTGGATTCAAGTGATATTTTTAGGAAATCTGTGTTGGTATTTTTCACTGGATTTTTTTGCATTTGAGAAAAATGAACTAATTTCGTGGATCTGCTTTGAGCTATTTGGATCCAGTTACTCTTCCTATATCCGTAGTGACGCTCTTCCTTTCCTACGTTTGTCTGCACTAGCAACTAAACCAGAAAGTTTTCTTAGTAAGGTTAAAGCCAAGGCCAACATTGATAATTCCTTTCTTCATACGATCAAAACCCAAATGAAAGAAGTGAGAAAAAGATCAAGTGTGATTAATAACGAAATTAAATGATTTTATCACAGGGGCCTTATTCTGTAAGAACGAACCGTTTGATTCGGTACAATTTCTTCGATTGTGACGTCATTTTCGGTTTGGTTTTCGCGCTACCAAACCGAAAATGACGTCACAATCGAAGAAATTTTACCGAATCGAACGCTGCGTTCCTTACAGAATAAGGCCCCTGGGCTGGAACTCTGTAACGGATAGAGATCGTTATCCCTATCGCTATGGCACTTGCTGTCTTCTTCTCTTTTATCGAAATTAATAGAGAGGGGACGCCACTAGAGATAGAGATATTGATCGCTATCCGTTACAGAGTTCCAGACCTGGCTCACTTCTCCAATCTCTTGCATTGAATTTAAAACCATCCAGAAAAAAAAAATCGTTTTTGGTTAATTTTTAAATAAATTCCCTGTAGGCATTTTTGGAGCCTTTATTTTGAAGAATATCTACAAAAACGGTGTGCCTATTTCAATAAGAACTTGCAGATAATTCAACAATAATCTAAAACGATCAAATATTACGCAGTTATTACATTTAAACTATGCAAAATATCAACAAAAGCAACAGCGACATCTGAAAAATTTAAGCAATAATAAGTAAATCCGATAAGCGTAACATTTCTCCAGGATGGATTATGACAGCACATTCGAGGAATATTGCGAGTTTTCTTCCGTTTATTTTCCTGGAAAATACGAAGATTTAAATTCATGAGATTTTAACAAAATGTTAACATGTCTGGTCTCATCTCTATACAAGACGACAGCGAGAAAAATCACATGCATTGCAAAAGGGCAATTTTGATGAATTTGTGAAAAACTACAAAAATACAGGGTGTCCCAGCCGAGAGTGACCCATTTTAAATGCTTATAACTTTTAAACCAGGTGAGCTAGCTACTTGCGGTTTGTGCCATTCGATTTCTCTTGGTCTAAAGTTTTTTCTAGTAGGTTTCATTTTTTTTTGAAACTTATACAGGGCGAGTAAAAAAAAATCCGTTTTTCAACATCGGAATTCTCCACTATTTCTAATGGAACACCCTGTATATCACAACGTCAAAAAAAAAGATTCATGTTTAAGGTATCCATGTACCAATAGACATCGTCCCTAAAACTGGAAGTTTTAGCTGTAAAAAATCAAAATCGAAATCTTGGTATTTTTGCAAACGGATATTTTCAAAGCTTGGAACTTATGTTTGCCTAATATAAAGTTAATAACAACTGCATAAAACTACACAAAATGCTGTAGGTACCTATATGTATATGTTAGCCATTCTGGTATTCCATTCCAGGTATTTATGGATCAATAGATGGATGAATGAATTGTGATATCCTGGAGAATCGCTTCAATGACCTTACAAATGTCCCGCTTAAGATCTTTCAGCCTATTTGAGCAAAGTATTACCGCATCTTTCCTTGACATAGCTCCAGAGAAAAAAGTCTAGAACTCTCAAGTCAAGAGAGTAAGGTGTCCATTTTATAGGCCAGCTCTCTTGTCCGTCTTTCCCCAAATATCATATCTGATTCCCTTGCTATCAAAGAATAATGGTGCTGAAAATAGATATCATCCAAGATAACCTCCTGTCTTAACTGTGAGAAAAGGAGCATATCAGTGTATACAGTTTCTGTTATTGTTGGGTTCATCGTTCATCAATGAAAATGCTCTGTATTTTTTCTCAATAGAGATTGTACATCAAACTGTACTGTTGGGGTATCTCTATTTAATGAGTTCCAGAGAAAATACTTTGGAACTCATTAAATTTTCTTGGAAAATGTATTTTAACTTAATTGATATCTAACTAGACAGTTACAAAATTTTTTGCCGTAGTGATATCAAGTTCCTACAACATGAACTTGCATGCGTTTGCAAAAATACCAAAATTTCGATTTTGATTTTTTACGGGTAAACCTTCAAGTTTTACGGATGATGTCTATTGGTACATGGATACCTTAAACATGAATCTTTTTTTTGACGTTGTGATATACAGGGTGTTCCATTAGAAATAGTGGAGAAATTCGATGTTGAAAAACGGAATTTTTTTCACTCGCCCTGTATAAGTTTCAAAAAAATTTGAAACCTACTAGAAAAAACTTTAGACCAAGAGAAATCGAATCGCACAAACCGCAGGTAGCTAGCTCACCTGGTTTAAAAGTTATAAGCATTTAAATTGGGTCACTCTCGGCTGGGACACCCTGTATAAAAAAAGTACGTCAGAAGTTTTTTGACAGAAAAATCGGGAGACATAACGAACTTATCACAGGATGAATTTTTAGCCGTGGGAGTCGCCCAAAACTACGGAACGAAAAAGGGAGTTAAGTTAAAATATAATATATAATAAAATATAAAATATAAATATCCCCCTACAAAAAAGAAACAGGGAACCATTGGAGATTTATTGGTGGTAGAGTACTGTTCACAAGAGAGACAGAAACCAACGCCAAGAAGTATTCACAAATTAGATTGACAAAAACGGAAGTACAAAAGAGTAGCAGAAAAATAGTGATTCCTAGAAAAGGATGGGGACTAGATAAAGAATGGTTCAGATTTAAGCAGATACTGTATTTTATTTTTAAAGAAACCAAAATTAAAATCCGTTTAGGGGCCAATGACCAACGAACAGCAAACAGTAAACTGAACCAGCAGGAGGAAATAGGGGAGCCAATTCACCATATTAGTTAGGTTAGAATCGCAAATTGGCGCGGGTTCCTAGTTCAAAAATTAATACATTGATGTCTTATGGGGACTCAATTTTAAAAGCGTCTGTAGACGTGATAGAACGTTTGTTAGGGAAATGAGTTGTATAAATAGTTTTTTTAATATGTTAATTAACTGAGAGAGTGTTTGAAAGTTGAATAAACATTGTTAAAATAAAAATATTACCAATTTGAGAAGCCGATGTTTGTATAAAATACGTATGTCGTTGCTTGATCCATAAGTTTATATATGGGTACCTATAATTATAATAAAATAAAAGTGTACCTACATACTTGGTTAGTAGATGTACTTCAATAGTCCAAAAAAATGGAAAAACAAATTACTGAACTAGTGATAAATAAATAAATAAACAATTCACCAACAATCATAACACAACACACAACCTCACTTTCTTACAGCTGGTTTTAGACCCGACGTACGTCCACTGAAAACAGAAATTTTTAATTAAAATCATTTGTATTTTTAATTCATAAGTCTAAAAAAACAATTAGAGCATGAATTATAGAGAAATATGTTCAAAATTTGACGTATAATAGGTTCAAATACTAAGAAATGCCCAGAACCCAAGATATTCCCGTCTGAAAAACACTCTTTTGAATCCCCCATAAGAAATACATTGCTGTCAAATTTGTTGGAATGTGTTTAGGAACCCATTTTAAATTTCGCGCCCGATTTTTCCTAACCTAACTAATATGGTGAATTAGTGTATTACTACAAATATACACAAAAGCGGAGGAACAAGAATACAAAATAGGAGCAGCAAAGGATTCCACAATAGAACCAGGCGAGGAGACAATGGTAGAACTGAAAATTATGTGGTATACGAGCAAGATGACAGATAACATGAGTTATAGTTGTGAAAACCTAGACGGATGGATTGGCGAAAAACCGGATAAACATAAAATCACCTATTTTTACAGGAGAAAACAACATTATTATCAAAAATCCCAGTGGCATTATTTGAAGGAACCACAATGATATGTCTAGCAGATCATAGTGAAAGAAAAAGCTTAACATTAGAAGATTAGAAAGTATTAAAGACAAAAGAACCAAGCAAGCACTCCAAGAACTCCTTCTCGAAAACAGTAATATTTTTGCGAAATCAGCAAAGAGCATGGGCAGGACAAATCTGACGAAACATGTGGGCCAATGGAAACTTTCCACCCTGATTTTTTGAATTTGAAATAAAAATCTGGAAAAACGCAATTCATGTCAGGTACCATCGAAAATGTTGGACCCATTATGTAACGAGCGTTCTTCGATCACATACTCAGACACAACATGAAACTCATCCCCACCAGCAAGGATATGTTTCGTCAATGGCAGCAGCAGTCGAATTCATCCATATTCTGGAAAAAAAAAACTATCGGAGGGACAAGTTTTTGCAATAGATGTTCTTGAAGAAACATATAAGTCTATTTGTGCTTCAAATAATGTGCATGAAGAGCTCATGTCACGTAGGCAGCTAAAGACATTTATTGAGACGGAGCTATCGGACAAGGAAATTGAATTTTCGCGCCCCAGGCAGTCCAACAGACCAGAAAGCGTTTCCATGAAGTGTACCAGAGAAGAATTGTTAGCAGAGGCTGAAAATTATGGTGACCAAAAAATGAGAGAACTGGATGTTTTGTTTCAGGCTGCAAACATAATCCGACATCTTTTATGGAAGTCGAAGCTATGGAATTTTGATGGCTCTGTTCCATAAGATCTGAGTGAGATTATTCCAAATGAACTCAATAGCTTTTTAAAGTGGTGCATTGGGGGCAAAAGTAGCATTTCAGCAGAGAAGAAGGAAAAACATGAAGAAGTGAAAAGGCGAGCTTGTCATATGTCGCAAATTCTGATGTCAAATTGTCTCTCTCGTAGACAGAACAAGCAGTCTACCCTTTTTATCGTACAAGGGACTTACCACTTCAAGTTGCTATTGGTCTAACAATTCATGGATCAACCCGCAGTCAGTTCCTAGTAAATTTTGTTCATAGTATTCGATGTAGCATTGATTATAGTCGAGTACTAAAGTTGGAAATGCAAATCGCAGCAAGTGTTTTGAAAAGAATTCATGACAATGAGGGAGTCTACGTTCCACCAGACATTGTACCTAATAGATTTATTCATTGCACTGTAGACAACCTTGACTTCTCTGAGGATACTGCAGATGGTAAAAAAACACTTCATGTTACTGTCATAACTGTATATCAGGTTATCAAAAAATCTGATACATCTGTACCACTCTCATTAGTTTCACCACACGAGTGTCGCCAGAAAATTGATAGTGCGCTCCCCCAACCATACTAAAAATGGCAAACCCACCAAATTGGAAATCCTGCTGTCCCCTTCCTGTAGTTTCAAGTACCCAAACGAACCATCTAAACACTATTCGTGAGGCCGTACTTGCTGACGCTGTGTGGTTTTTTTAAGAAGTTACATACTGACTACGAATAAAAAACCTAATATACATTCCCCAACATGGGCCGGTTATAACAGTCACATGGTAGATCAGAAACCTGGATCAAGAGTAGCTGTACTACTTATGATCCCAGAGTCACCAATTAGCCGATCAGTGCGACTAACTGTGATGAAGCAATTGGAGAAACTGAATAGTACAGTCCATTATTCAAGTTTGGATGTACAGGCCACCAAGAAACGGGTAGCGTCACAGTTGACATGGCTCTTTACAAACCTATAAAACAAATGGAAATGGCTGTCAAAGACTTGAAGGGAAAATGGCTTGTAAAGCCTGGGAAACTGCATATTATAATTGCTCAGCTAAGAACAATTGGAGAGTTTATTCAAGGATCTGGTATACCTGAGCTATGGGTGGAATGTGACATATTCTGCAGCAACAATGGAAGAAATCCTTGATGGAAAACACATCAGAAGAGCAATTGAAGCTCACATAACTACTGTCTCTGCTTTAATAAGCCTGCTCCTAAAAGAATTTGAGAAAGAGTGTTCAGGACAATTAGACTGTTTTGAGCCTCTTGTTCAAGAACTGTTTGGAGAATTAACAGCTAGTAATAGAAAAACTATTAAAGCAGTACATGCTGCATTAGTTCCTACGATAAAAGGAAAAAATGTTATTGATAGTACTAGCGGTTAGTCTCAAAAAAGGACGATATTTGGCAAATTTGTCTAAAAGCAGCAAATTCCACAGGGACGTTTTTTAGATCACTTTAAGCGATTTGGCTCGCAGGGCCAGCCCAATTTTTGACTGTGACTCAAAATGGCAACGATTTTTCAAAATGGCGGACCATAAATCGACAATACTTATTTATCAACGGTTTTAAACGTTCAACATGTCGTTTTTAACTAATTTTGGGTTGCAGATTCCATTAAAAATACTAGTTTTTACATTATCATTCAAGCTCATATAAAAAAGCTATACAGGGTTGTCAAAAAACTTTTAAAAAATATTCAAAATGCGTATGAAATTGTTTTTCTGTTAATTTTATGTTTCTCTGTTTCAAATTCACGGTGAAACTACCGACATACTTTAACATCAATTTAATAGTCATATACAGGGTGATCATGAAATAACGCATTTAAAATTTGAAGGTGCATTATATGTAATTATGTGTTACGGGTAAACCCCGAATACCTAGATAATGTTATGTTTATTCAGTCTAATAATTTTTTTCAGGAATGTTTGGGATATATTGTTAGGGTTTAGTTAGGCTTGTTTAGGTATGTTTATGTTTAAAACAAAAATAAACAGACCCAAACAAACCTGGGGCGAGTTCAGGAATGACACACTCCGTGTGAGTGTGACACCGGTGCGACGCACTAGCCGTTCAAAAATGCTGTAGGCACACCGAGTGCGCGCACTCTGTTCCGTTCAGAAAGTACTTCAGGCGCGCTGCAGGTGTCGCACCGGTCACACCATAATTTTTCGGTGTGGCTGCGGTGTGATTGTGTCTTTATGTCAACAATGTCAGCCATTCCTCCCATAATCTCATTAATCCCACCAAATATAAAGAAAACACAGATAAGAATTAAAGTTTTTTCTTCAAATTAAAAAAATGAACAACAAAAAAAGTAATCTTAATACATTTAGTAAAATTTTTGGGGAGATGCTCGATCGGTCACACCAAGCGTTCAGAAATTCATACGAAAGTTGTCGCCTAAGAATTTTCATTTCACTCACGCCCATAAAATCTCACTCACACCCATAAAATCGCACTCACACTCGGTGTGTTACTTCTGAACTCGCTCCTGGGTAATTCTATCTATATTACCCAATATTAGGGTTTTACCCGTAACATAATTGTTACACTTATAACTTGTTCTCTATAATAACAATTCAAAAATATACAAAGAGGATCTCTCTAAAAAATATTAGTAGCACACCCCCAACATCATTCACCTTCTTCGCGCCCCCCACTCTAGCGCGGAAATTGAAAACCAAGCTCTGTGCATTCTGCGTCTGCGTCTCTCTCTGAAAACAAAAGCGAATTATTTGTACTTTTGTCTAAAGGTCTAATAGAATAAAACTGTCACAAATATTGGTGGTGTTGCGGCTTCCAAAAATATTTTGTCTGAACTATCTGGAAAATCGTGCCAGCATTGGGAGGAGAAAGTCGGGCGAATTTTGCTACATGTATCATGGCCAGAAGTGGAGCCAAAAAAGTCATAGTTCGAACAGTCGATACTGATGTTGTGGTATTGTGTATTTCATTCATATATCAGCTTCATTCAGGCTATGGATTTAGAAGAACTGTAGTGGATTTTATTTGGGTCTGGGAAAAAACGAAGATACACTGGAAATAGACCCTTACATCTGATTCCACCTAGCTCAGCAACACTCGCAGAACACTGTCTTTGAGCCGCATATCAAGCATGCCAAATCTGGGGTAGATCGTTAGATATGCTTCAATGTGCTCCCCTTCTCCAGGCTCCTGGGGTTGGACCAAACAAAATGAAATGTGGGAACCCGTTTGGTCAAAACTGGCTTCCACATGGACAGCATGCAGGGAGTTGGAAAAGTGTGGCTGCAAGTCTGGCTGTGATTCCCAATGTTGTTCATGTCGACGCATAGGTTTACCTTGCACACTTCAGTGCAAATGCAATGATGCATGTTTAAACAAGAGGTGATTGACTAGGTTGGAAATTTTTAAAACATATACGGGTTACTCCTTTTTAGTGAAAATCATGAAGACCCTTCAGAATGAGATCACGAAAAATTACTAGACTGAGGGTCTCCATATTCTAGGTACTTTTTAACGACCCTGTACACTAATTTTTAATAAACTCTCAACAGCATCAAAAACAAATTTATGATATAAGTGGTAAAAGTGACATTTTATTTTGTGAAAAGGGAAGTTTGGGAAACGACGCCAAAGGCGGAGTGTTCCATCCCTTTGAACAAAATAAAATCACTTTTAGCGCGAATGTTATACACTATTTTTTCTACAAACGCACTAAAAGTGATTACTTTTAGCACTAGTGCTAAAAGTAATCACTTTTAACACCATTGTCATAAAATGGCATTTTAGACACTGACAGCATCCGTTAAAAATGACACTTTTAGTGACGTTTGTAGAAAAATAACTATTAATTTAATTGAATTTCACGACGCAAAATTAGTCGAAACCGACATATTAAACGCTATAAGAGCTTCTAAAAAAAATAATTTATCAATTTATGGTACGCCATTTTGAAAAATGGCCGCTATGTTGACGAAAACAAAAAATAATATCTTTATTGAATTCTACGACCCACACTTAGTCGAAAAAGACATCTTGAACACTAAAATCTGTTGACAAATAATAATTACCAATTTATGGTCCGCCATTTTGAAAAAAAAAGGCGCCATTTTGATCCTAATGGAAAAACTAAACTTTTATATGAGCTCTACGATCCAAAATTAGTCGAAAACGTCATATCGAACGCTAGAATTTGTTGACAAATGAGAAATACCAATTTATAATCCGCCGTTTTGAAAAAAAGGCGTCATTTTGAGTCACAGTTCAACATTGGGCTGGACCTCCGGGTCAAATCTCTTAGAATAGCCTAAAATACATCTCTGCCAAATTTCGTGCTTTTAGACAAATTTGCCTAATGGTTTGGACTAACCGCTAGTACTATGATGAAATAGAAAAATTTTCAACTACAAGAAACCTCAAATATCCTGTTTTCAAACTAGCGTGCACGTATATGGATATGGTACAAGTAGTAATGAACTTCATAAGAGCTGTAAGAACATCGGATTGGGGGCTATATTTAGCATCACTCCAGGAGTTCATAAAATAGTTCTTTGCATTTAACAGGGTGAATTATGCACGGATGATCACCCTCTATCTTTCAGAGATGGAGAGCTTGGAATCTGAAGATCCAAAGATTTGGGAACGATTCATGGACGGTAATTGGGTCGTGAATAGAAGTTCAGTTCCATTTTGTGATCTTTGTGCGGATGAAACTTTGGAACAGCAAAATCGAAAACTAAAGATACATGGAGGACTTGTTGGTATAACGCTCAACGAAAATGCTCGAAATCGATTGTTTCTTGCTAATTCGGAACTAAGTAGAATTGCATGTGAAACTGAGAAAATGATAGGATTTGAAAGTACAGAACGAAGTAAACATCATGAAGTGTCCGTTAAGCTTCAACAGCGTCAGGATGATAACGTTCTTAAACTTTTCAATACACAACAAATCCATTCCATTGCAACAGCGATGAGCTCATTCACATTCTAAGTCAGCGAGTCTTTCCACAGGAAGTAAAGGTGTCTTTAGATAATGTTGCACAAGTTGGACAAGATCTGCATAATGCATTCTTAGAACAACGAGTTTATGCCAACAACATTCCGTTCTGGGACCCTTTAAAAAAGAATTTGATCAAAACGTGTAAAACGGCAGTGAAAAAGGTTAAAATTACTCTCAAAGAAAAAACTGTAGCCATAAAGACGGATTTATCTCTTATTTCAAGACTGATGATAGCATCTAGAAGTAGACCTGAAATTGACTTGAGATACAACTTGAGCAACTACGAGTTTTCAGCACTACCTAAGTCTTTGTTTGCAGTTGACGGGAGTATGCACCATTGTCTAGCTAAGCACAAACTTACGGATGCTCTTGAATCAATGCAAGTATTACCCGCAGAAGGAAATGACAATGCTCATACTTCCACAGATGCTATTTTAGAAAACAGTAAAGATCTACAATAAATTGCAGCGATAGTAGATGGCATGACACTTCTTCATACCTATCATAAACCTAACACAGTGAAGACGTGCCTTGACCTCGGTATAAGTTTTAGCAAATGGGTTGGGCAAAAATTTAATAATTACAGTAAGGTCCATGTTGTTTTCGACTCTTACAAAGAAAACTCATTAAAGAAAACGATGCGATAAATTCGGCAAAAAGGCTCAGATCCAATTTAGTACAAAATCGGACGAAAATTGGTAGTGTACCGATGAATAAATTATTGGCCCATGATAAGACGAAGGATGAACTAACCAGGTTCCTTTCTCACCAAATTCTTGAATTTAGCATGACCAATAAGAAAAGGTTTGTAATAAGTTGGAGGGACAAAGCAGCTTCGTCACATGGCGGCGATGTATCCAGTCTTTCAAGTACGCAGGAACAGGCGGACACAAAGATCATCTTACATGCAGCGTATTTAGCACGGAAAGGAATTAAAACTACTAATGTGTTCTCGCCCGATACTGATGTGCTAATTTTACCACTTAGGCGATATCCTCAACTTTCGCAAGATTTTGCAATTTTTCTTGGCCATGGCATGAAAAGATTCATTCAGATAGGTCTAATTCACAGAGCTCTTGGACCTTTGAAAGCCTCTGCACTCCCTGGATTGCCTGCACTTTCAGGATCAGACGTAACAGGATCATTGTCTGGCAAAGGTAAAGTAAATTGGTGGTGAACTTTCAATTCTGTAAGTGACAAGCTGCTACTGGCCTTAGCTGAATTGGGGACTACTCCGTCTCTCACTGAAGATGTCAGAACTAACAGAAGCATTTATTTGTCAGCTTTATATCCCCAAAACAGCACTTACCGACATCGGAGCTGTGAGATGGTTTTGTTTACCCAGAAACAATATCAAGATGAGAACCGGCCTCCAACAAGATCTGCATTAGATCCGGCATTGCTAAGAGCCCACCTTCAGTGTTTTGAGTGGAATCAGGACCTGATTCAGCATCCCAATAATCTACAACCCTCAGATTTTAGATGGAGGAAAGTAGGAAATACATACGAGCCAATTACTTGTACCAAACCTTGCGCACCAGAACTTCTGTTGGAACTTTGTCGCTGCTCGTTCTCCCAAAGGCGATGCTCTCCTCCATGTACATGTCAATCGAATAGGCTCCGGTGTACCGAAATGTGTAAGTGCGAAGGTAATCCAGATCGATGCGACAATATAGAAGAATGTGGGCAAGGCGATGAGGAAGATTTAGAGCTAAGTGAAATTAACTTAGAGAGTGACGATGACTGCAGTTTAGAATAGCATTGTAGGAGTGATTTTTTGTTTGTTTAGAAACTGTTTACTTAAACCTGTATATGATTTTTCATTAAACCTAAAAATTATAATTATACATCTTTATTTTTCCCATGCCTACCTATTCTATACAGAAAAAGGGGTGTGGAGGGGGAGCGGGGGAGGGAGGGGGGAATTAATTTAGCAATATTTTTTATATAAAACTTTTTTTTTTCATTAATAAATTAATATTATTAATTAGGTTAGGACGTGAATTGTAAATTGATGTATTTTTATCAAGGAAAGTAAGTATCGCTTTTACTCCTACTAAAGCAATTGTTTATTTCCAAGATTTTGACAAGTTGTCATTTCGTTACGGATAGAAATTATATAAGACGAAATTCTAGGGTCATAAAGAACTCGATGAGACCTTTAAAAAGAGGTAAGACACGACCCCTATCTCCTATTTAAATTTGCGAGGTTTTTTCCCCCCAGCTAAGGGGTTAAAGCTACGACAGGGGGATGAAAAAAACTGAAAAATAGTTCCTCCTTAAATCAAAAATCGCCGTGTCCGAGCGTTTTTCCAGATTTTCATTTCAAATCCAAAAAACTAGGCTGGAAAGTTTTCATAGACCCACCCGTAGAATTGAAACGCCAAACCAATAAAAAGTCGACCATGCAGAGTATCACAAAAAGAGAGGCAAATAATCGATGAACAAATTCAGGAAATTCTAGAAAGCAATGTGATTCGTCCTTATCACTTACCATGGACTAGTCCAGTGGTGCTAGTCAAGAAAAAAGATGGAAAACCCAAATTTTGTCTGGACTACAGAAAAATTAATAGTGTGACTAGGAAATCAACGTACCCATTACCCCAAATAGATGATATTCTATCATATTTGGAAGAGGCTTCTCATTTCAGCACCTTGAATATGTGTTTCCGGGATACTGGCAACTACTTGTCGAAGAAAGCTTCAAACCATATACTGCATTTATACCACAAGGACATGGATCTTACGAATTCAATGTAGTTAGTTTCGGACTCTGTAACGCTCCAGCGACTTTCCAAGAACCAGCTGATAGAGTCTTTTGGGACCTTGAATGGAAGGAAATATTGCAAGACTATAGAAAAACATCTTGTGTTATATGTCTAAGTTATTCATATCTACACTTCAATAGTCCATACTCTAGTAGTATGATCCCTCATCGCCCGGGAGGTGCTGCCCCCTAGAATAAATATATTATTAGGTAGTCAGCTGATGTAACCCTCGGGACATGACATGTTTTTTGGCTTGTGCTGAATAAATAATATTCTTTTCATTTTATTGCCTTATTTGATGAATCCGCATTCCGCTCGGAGCCTAACAATTATACACATCTGGATAAACTAAGAAAGGTTTTTGAATGACTGCAACAGGCAAATTTGACACTCATTAATCCAAGCAAATGCAAATGCCTAAAGCAAGAAATAAAAATCTTAGGTTTTCACGTCAGCGAAGAAGTAATTCTACCAGATGAGGAAAATATGGATTGCGTCAAGAAATTTCCCACACCAAGGACGGTCAAAGCATCCAGATCTTTCTAGGACTATGAAACTTTTACAGAAAGTTTATATGCATCATCTCAACAATTGTCAGATCATTGCATTACAGTACAAAAAAAGTGCACAAAGTTAAGTGTAAGAAAACTTAGACATGCTTAGTAGAGAATCCAGGACGACCCAGACATCAACATTTGAAAAAGAAAAAAGAATTTTAGAGTTCAAAAATAACCTACTGTGTAAAACTAATAAAACGCATAGAGGCTTAGAAAACGCGCTAGTGGTGTGATATGATAATAGCAGATATTGTGCTATTTTGTTCGAACTGAAAAATAGTAATAATGGCGATATTATCAACCGTCAAAATGGTCAGTAACCTTAGAGTTTTAGCTCGGAATACCAAGGTTCTCTTGCAGCATCAGCAAAAGTTGCAAGTTATCCTACATATAGAAAAGATTGAAATTTGCCTGATATCAGAAACGCATTTTACAAATCAATATCATATTAAATTTAAAGGATATAGAGTGTATCATACAATTCAATTCATCCTAGCAATACAGCACATGGAGGAAGCGCTGTCATATTTAAAGAAAACATATCTGACATTAACGAGACAGAATATAAACCAATAGAAATTCAAGCTACAGAAGTATCTAAGGGTAAAATCTGAATATACACACTAACGATATGTGCTGCCTATATACTATATACCACCAAGGCATCTATTGAAAAAAAATCAATGTCTCAATTTTTTCAGAAAGTTAGGAAATTGATTTATAGTTGTGGGTGACTTTAATGCAAAAAATACCTAACGGAGTTAGATTCCAGGCTAACCAATTCCAAGGGAAATGAGCTTCTGCAAGCTATTAATTAATATAAATACGAACACATAGGTATCCATTGGTAAGCCAACCTATTATCTAGTAGGTCCCGGAAAATTCCTGATACGCTTGATTTTTCCATCGTAAAAAATTTATCGACAAGTTTTCTGGAGATAGAAGAAAGGTATGATTTATCTCAGATGACTCACCTATCATCCTAACTCTGAGTGAATATATAATTCAGAAGGAAGTAGTTGATAAACTGACGAACTGGGCTAGTTTTAAACAAAGTCTGTCAGTAAAAATAAACTTATCAGTATCGTTGTGAACGCCACAACAAATTGATGAGGAAGTCGATAACAGTCCCAAAAACCAGAAAAAATTTTCAAGCAAGAGAACTACCCAAAAGAAATTAGAGATCTTATTTTACAAAAAAGAAAAAGAAATAAATTGAGGTTAAATCGAGATTCCTATGACGAAACAATTCTCAATAATTATGACGAAGCTCATAAGGCGGGAAATTCAAGAAATCAAAAATGATTTTATTAACAATAACTTAGTGAACTCCCAGAAAACAGAAGCACTCATTATTCCCTTTGGACAGCAACCAAATGCTTTAAAAGGCCAGTTACCCAAATTCCACCGATAAGAAAGACAAATCAGCAATGGGCAAAGAGTAACGAAGAAAACTTAGAACTTTTTGCAAGCCATTAGGCCTAACGAAGCGCAAGATGGAAATCTTCCCTGGAATGAACCTTATCAAGAAGAAGGCCACATTAAGCCTACTTCAACACTAGAAACATTAGCAGAGATCAAACAAAATATCAAAACTTAACTTTACTTAAACGAATCATAGAAAGACAGGATTATTCCAGCTCATCAATTTGTATTCTACGATAAGCACTCTACGATCGACCAAGTACACAGAATAACCAATATAATAGAAAAATCGCTGGAAGAGGGAAAAGTCTGTTCCGCAGTTTTCCTCGATGTAGCACAAGCATTTGACCAAGTTTGGCATAAAGGCCTAAACTATAAACTGAAGCTGCTCCAGCCAAAACAATATTCTGATATTTTGGAATCATATAAGGTATATGTGATAGACATTTCAGAGTCAAACAGGAAGATTTTGAGTCAAATTTATGAAAAATAAAAGCAAGTGTACTGAAAACCATTGTCAGTGCACCATGGTACGTTCGAAATAGTGGCCTACATCGGAGCTGAAAATTTCAGAAACAGAGACTATAAGAAAGTACGCAAAAAGCCATCAAGATAGATTACATCGGCATGTGGATGTGGAAGCGGTTGGGTTGAGCTCCTAAACAACACTGAGCTAGTTTGAAGACCGAGAAGGGTCAAGCCGTTTGAGTTAGCCAACTAAAAAACACAACAAAATAGTGCTATAAACACATCAAAATTGGTGACTTACAAAGTGGGAAAAACTGTTGAGTGAACCTCAAGAACTATTGTTTGACAAAAAAATAATTAACTAATTAAATTAAATGAAGGGTTCTACTTCTAGACATCGCGCAAGTAATTAGGTATCACGCTCTTTCTGCTCCAGGTTAGGCGTACATAAGAAGTATAATTTATCCAATCTAAAGCAAGTAGTAACCCGTGACCTGTGGCGGTTAGCTACTTGGGAACTGTTTCATAGACCTACCTTATATTTTTGGTTATTTTTTTGCTGAAATTTCAACCCTAATTGTGAATTGAATCAAAAAAGTCACAAAAGCAACTCTTCAAATTCTTGAACAAACACACGTTTATAATTTGTAAAAATACCGGTTCAGTAACCGAAATGTTCAACATTTAAAATTCAAGCATAAAACAGCGCCTCTCGTTACCATGTATACGCGCTGTAGACGGGATGCCGTTTTAAAAATGCAACTCCACTTAAACTTTGCAGTCGTCAAGTGTTCTGTCGTATCTAAATAAAAGGCCCCGGGTAGAGTTCCATTAAAACTGCCGTAAGCTCTGAAGTAACTCCAGTTAACGTTTTGATTTTTGTATTTTCATGAATCACTTTTTTATTTGTTTCAGAATACGCCACTGTCGGTTACATGGCGAAACGAATACAAATGAGAAAAAATCGATTTTTGGCTATACAAAAAATAGCCGAACAAAAGAAACTGAATGTGGATGGCGGACCCGATGATCATATGCCCAAGCAAACAGTGAGTAATCGTACAGTAGGATTATTTAATAGTTTTAGTTGTGTATAAAATATTGATAGCCAAGCCTTTTTCCAATATTATGTCTACAACTATTTGTAGGTATTGTGGGATAAGTTCTTCGTAAAGACGTTAAAATTTCTTTTAAATTTTTAACTTCTTGTTTGTTCACCCTGGTTAATAAGATAGCATCCATATATCTAAGTTAATAAGGCCAATAGTGAATAATAAAAGATCTAAAACGACGTTCATCATTTTACTAAAAATAGCTTGGCCCTTCACGATACCAAAAGACATTTTCTTAAGCTTATACGTACCATCACTTTTTATAGATGCGGTCTTTGCTATGGACCCCTCTTCAACTGGTATTTGTTAATATTTATTTTCCATGTAGGAACGTATAAAGCTTCATTCCTGCTTATTGATCTAACTGGTCTTCAAAAGGATTATACTGCATCTGAAAATATTTTCCTTTCGTTCAATTTGGGTTTCAATGCACAGATCTTGTTGGCAGTTTTCCTCAGCATCTACTTCGATAAATCCAACAAAAAACTTGGATTAGTACGACACTTTTTTCTTTTAACCATGTGAGGTCAACTTGGAATAAGCCAACATAAGAATTCCTGGTTTAATACCGTTCGCTTCAAATACTCTTAAGACTTTCCCTTTTTTGACTAAAACTATTTCATAATATTTCTCAAGTTCTTGTTCAAACAGTTCCTACTGTTTTGTTCTCTAATTCTCTAGTTTCTTGGAATCCAGAGTTGCTTCTTTCCTCGACCTTTTTTTTTAATGAATGAAGGAGATCATCTTTATCATGATATCAGTTGAGTTTTGCCTGATGTCAAGTCAAATAATGTTTTATCAGATAAGAATTTACTCTTGGGCCTCTTATAATGAAAACTTTAATGCCAAAAGTCTGCACATGAGTTCTTTTAGAGGACTCCCATTGTGTGAAAGCTAACGGCTAAAGTGTCCGGTTATGAGTACAGTTATTAGCCTGATTTCATTCCTGTTTAGTTGTAGGATCTGTTCAGTGAGTTTACGTGATGGTTGTTATACCATTGTGTACTGTGTCTGAGCTTCGAAAGAGTTTGCCAGTGAGTTTGGTGTTGTCTATACATCCATTGGTATATTTTTGTTCTTACCGAAGGTTTTGTGGTGCCAATTACCGATTCAGGACCAGTATAAGCTGGTTGCTGATCCTTCTATTCCTTCTCGTGCCAGAGTATCTGCTTTTAAGGGTTACCTTGTTGGCCAAACTTAGGTTTTCAAGGTTTTCCAAGCATTCTCGGACAATTTTGGATTTTATTTCGCAACTGTTGAGCAGTGCATTAATCGAAGCTTGACTGTCTAAGCAGACAAGGATGTTTTTACCTGTGTATCCCCTGCTTAAGTTTTCTCTCAGACAGGAGTCGATGGCATAGATTTTTGCTAGGAATGCATAGTGGTGAGTAATATGGCAGGTACATAGAAATTATAATCAGCTCCTTGATATTCAAGCTTGCTTTATTGCTGGTATGTCCCTAAAACAACAATTTGTCTTTTTTTTTGTATTAATATTGTTGTTTACAATAATGCAGCGTCTCTCCATCACTCTGTTCCCTGACGTCCAGGGTTCTTGGATCAGAGCCACGTCAATGCCCCTTGCTTCGAGGGTTTTGCAGAAGGCAGCAGTTGCAGCCTTCTTATGTTGCAGGTTTATTTGAAGGACCCGCAACATTTTCAGGTTTTGATTGGGCACCAAAGAGTACAGCCTTGTTTATCTTAAGTCTGTTGACCTGAGACCCAAGGTTCCTTATGGGTTTATCATCTTCCTAGGTTTTGCTCTATTTCCAGCTTCCCGCTCCAATGATGAAACCCTTTCTTCCGCGAGGCTTGTTCGTTGCCTCCGGTGATGTTGTCGTGGTTTAGTCTGTTGGATCTTCCGCTGACTTTGTTTCAAGAGATGGTTTGGTTGAGGCTGAACCAGTGGGATTTTCCTCTACCTTCATCTCTTGGTTTATTGGTTTTTTCTTTTTCACTTCTTGTGTTTCCATATTAGTCCTACGACTGAAAGGGAAAGGGTGGTCAGGCTCTGCGGTGCCCCCTGCACAGAGCTAGGGCAGAGTACTCCGGGATGACGCCTGAGTTTCTTGTAATCTGTACTCCATTTCTCTGTTGTACGTTGGTTTTCTCGAAGGCTTGTATAAAATCATTGAAAGTCATGATTTCATCAACCTTGCCTGCCATTCAATATTTAGCATTTTCCATAGTGTAGGGTTCAGACGCCTTGGGGAGTTTGAATAGTTTTAATCGCTAGTTGCTTGACTGTGGGATTCTCCATTGAAAAATTTTATGTTGTCCATCAAATCCGGTATAACTTATTCTCTTTCAGAAGTTTATGTGGTTGATACAGATGATATTCAGTCAAAAGACTTTCCATTATCATTTGCAGTATTTTATTTCGTTAGTGATGCTATGGTGTGATGAATCGATGTTCTCATTTGCATTATGTTTCCTTCCTTGTCTTTTTGTTAATGCAGCACTTGCGACGTTTTTATAATTCGTTCGAAATTCAAGTGATTCTACGCTTATGTCTAGGTATGTATAGATGTCCCTCTAATAGGGAGCGACAACATTCAGCTTTAACCGATAGCAGAACTGTGGTTTTAACTGCACTTTCTATCAAGAGAAGTGCTTTAACTCTGTGATGCTTTTGAGTAATACACGTGAAAAATGTTTCTCTAAAAAACAAAGCGATGCAGCTCTTGGCCAACTCAACTTAACCTACAAGAAACATTATCTAACCTAAAAACTAAAGCTGCCAGTTTACTAACTGACATGGCTTGATCTATATATTATCACATCTCCCCCTTTAATAGCTTAATAGAATGTTATGCAACTTTTCGGACCAACATTTTGGTGCTTCCCTCAAACCGTAAAGTGATTACTGCAACTGAAAAATATACTTACAGTCTGAGTCCAAGTTTTCACATTCCAGTCCTTCGGGTATTTCCATGTACACACTTTGTGGCAAATCACCGTTTAGAAAAGTGCACTTTACGTGAAGCTGGTTAATCAAGTAGTGTTTTTCCACTGACAAAGGAAACAACATTCTAATAGTCAGCATACGCGCTACCGGGGAATATACTTCAAAGTTTTGGTTACTGGATTTTGATTGTTTAAAACCACGTGCCACTAATCGCGCTTATTCAACAAGTTTACCGTCACTTATCTTCCTTTTTGAGAAAAACCCACTTCGAATCGATCACATTGACACCTTTTGGACATGGAACAATTTCCCAAGTTTCATTCTCACTCAATGCACTCAATTCTTGATTTGTGGCCTTTTTCTCTTAATATAGCTCTGGAGTAAGTTTGGGGTATGTCGCTGTCCAGATTTTCAATGAATTAAGCTGCCATTAAGCTTTCATCTGAGTCACCATAAAGTTCATAATCATCCAACCAGACCTCAACTTCCGATTTATCTTCTCTCTCTAATCGGGTTGTCATTTTTTATCTCTGAAATTTCCTCAGCATCTTCCCACTAATTTTGTTCTTGTATCTAATTTTCTATGACTTGTTCGTTTTCATCTATCTGACAGTCATTATTTATGATCATTCTCTCTGGTCCAATTTCTTGTTTCTGTTCTGGCTGTTCTCCTGTCTTTTTCTTTTTATCAAAGATCACATCTTTAGCTGTGACTATTTTCTGCTTCTCAGGATCCGACTATCTATACCCATTCTCTGTATAGCCCATCGTTGACATTTTCTTGCTGCGAAAATCCAATTTTCCTTGTCTATCTTCTTTAATTGCATTGCAACCAAAGACTCGAATTTTGTCTATTTTAAATTCGGCTTCACACTGTACCAGACTTCAGCAGGTGTTTTGTTATTTGACAATACTGATGGTGGGTGTCCTGTTTATCAATTCATTCTATTTTGATTCCTCTTTTCTCACAGAACGTAACCAGGTCTTTTGAGATGTATTCTTCTCCACACAGTCACAGCGTAACCTTTCCAGTTTACAACCAAACTTTACTTCTGCTGCTGCCAAATACTGTTTAAATTTCTCTGTAACCTCATCTTTCTGTGCCATCATGTATACAACAGTAAAGTGTGAGATATGATCGATAAAGCTCACAAAAAACCTCATTCCCTTGTGTGATGTAGGATTCAGTAGACCACAGACATCTGAGGATACAGCTTCTAATATTCGTTTTGCTTTTCTTTCTTCTCAACAACTTGATTGGTAATTTGGTTTGCTTACCTTCATGGCATGTTTCACACAGTTTTTCTACGGGAAATCGCCAAGAATGACCCATTCTCCTATGTAGTCGTTGTTGATCACACTCTTTTACTGTCAAATTTGCTTGTTTACTTGTCAGCTTGAAGTTTAATTTGTACAAATTTCCTCTCAAGATACCTTTCATTATTTCATCTTGATTCATCATGATTTTGACAGTTTTATTCCCAAATGTTAACTTCAATCCATGTTCTTCGAGTTTTCGTACTGCAAGCAAGTTGTGGGAAAGATTTTCACTCTGTATGACATCTTTCATCACAATTTTTCTTCCTTCATATGTTTCTAAGTGTAGGTTTCCTTGTTTTGTTCCCAGTATGCTCTGTCCTTTTCTAGCAATTTGAAGGTTGTATTTTATAGGCTTGGCTTCTGTCAGGTACACACCAAGACACCAAGATCAGATTTCACTAGATGATTTGTAGCACCACTATCTACTACAAAATCTACATCACCATTTCCTATTTGACTCGACAAAGCTTCTCCTGACATCACCGTGATGAAACATATTATGTCGTTTTCATCTTTTTCAGTCACATTAGCTCGGCCTTTGTTAGGATCGTCTGCCTTTTTATGGCCCCTTTTGCCGCAACCATACCATTTGTATGGAATCCTGCACTTCTGTTAGGTTTTCCTTTTCCCAAAAATGCTGAACTACTTGACTCTTTTACTTCCGTATTATTCTGCCTTGTTTCTTCACACAATAACTTGCTCTTGACAAATTCCAATGTACTATTGTTTGCTTGACAAACATCAAGAGCCGTCACAACACTCTGGTAGGTCTCTGGCATCGAAAGCTAATAACTGTGAAATTATTTCACTTTGTTCAATTTTTCCTACATACTTTAATTCTCAGATAGTACGTTCAAACTGTACAATGTACCCATTCAGTGGTTGTGCACCATTGCATGTCATGTTACCTAACTTTCTTTGTAACTGGAACTGGCTGGTAAAACCTGATTTTATGTAGGTAAATACTTTTCAGAGTGTCGAAAATTGACTTTGCCGTGGTTTTTGATTTAATCATATCTAGAACACTATCGTCCACACAGTTGACAATCAAGTTCCGAGCCTTTAGATCATCTTTGTTGAACTGGGCAAGTTCCTGTGCACTCATGGGTGGTTCTTGATCGACAACTCTGACTGAGTAGCCTGTTCCCTTAAACGGTTTGATGTTGTGTGCTGGTGTCGTCATTTTCTTCCCATCCACTTTGTCTTGCACAAAAAACAACGTTTTCTACCTACGCTCAACTGAACGTTTACTGACGTTTACACTTTTTAGGTTAGATCTTTAAATGTTTGCAATTTTTGTCGATTTGCCTAAAACTTTCAACTGTAGCACTTCACGAAGGTTAAGCTTAAGCCACGATATCTGGGCCCATAACCTGTTCACTTTCAGGGCTCTGCAGGTCTTCAATTAAGCAAATACAGCGAAAATTGTCCAACAACGTCTTTATTCAGAAGCAAGGTTCACTCAACCGAACAATACAAAATCAGCTGATTGACAAGTTGATATATGGCAGCATTAGGGTCGGTTCACACAAACTGCTTATTTCTACAATAAATATAGGTTTTAATACTTGTCTTTATTAATTAATTATTCTTACAAACTTTCCATTATTAATGTGAAAAATGTTTTTTTAAAATAAGGCGATGCAGCCCTTGGCCAACTCAACTTAACCTACAAGAAATATCTAACCTAAAAACTAAAGCTGATCGCGCCATGTTGCCAAGTTTACTAACTGACATGGCTTAATCTGAACATTATCACAAATTCAATATACAATTGCTTTTTTGAAATCCCTTATTGCCAATGCCAAATAGTAACCCAGTTAAATTGCGGTTTTGGTAGGTATTTTCCGTAGAACGCCATGGTGGAATTTCATAATACTTTGCAGATTGTAGCAAAACGCACTCAAGTACTCTATTTAGGGCCGAATTTATAGTTGTTCCTTGGCTCTTCCTTGAAGGTCGTGAGTTTAAAATAGACACTTGCAATTATTTGACAAGTTAGTCATGGCAATTCTAAACGTTCAAGGATTCCTTAAGGTCTGAGGAAACCTCAAGGACCAACTATAAATTTGGCCCTTAATTAGTTAGATGGTAAATGGCGAGCGGTATAGGGATAGTGTTTATTTCCTTGAGCGGCTACCTATAAACTTGTGGAGGGGGTCTATTCGCGAAAGAGAGAAACAAACTATTGAGGTTTACTAAATTTTATTTTATTATACTCAAAACCAAAATCAAAATAAGCAAATATTTTTCTATGTCTGACAGCAACTTCAATTTTTCCCAACTCAATTATTTCACATCCGTTCAAATTTCATTACCACGGACCAGGAAATATCCATACTAAAAACGCCCTACTGCTTCTAGTCTTAATAACTAGTCTATTGTTTTAATGTTTATACATTTACTTTTGCAAACAACACTTCCGTCAAAATTCTTTATTAATTCCTACTCAAAATCGAATATTGTTAAGAGCATTGTAATTTTCCTTGGTTAATTCTTTGCAAAATTTAGAGAAATGTCATTTCACTCAAAGCAATTGAATTTATACAATAATGTTCCATAGTCAAATCACTCGAGTTAATAATATTTATGCAATAAAGTTCCAAAGTTAACTCACTTCATAGTCAATCATCATTTATAAAGTCAAAAAGTTTTACTAGTCACTAGAGTACTTACATTTAACTTTTCACTCGTAAAATTACTTAATTAATTTACTTCAAAAATCTCTAGAGCTCACACATAATGTTGAATGACTAAATGTTCTTTCTTCCACAATTTTCCGTTACTTTTTCGCGAATTTTATCCGGATTGAGTCATAAGGTACTGTAGATTTTTAACTCAAAACTGGACTGCAGGCTGAAGACTAACAACTCAACTAACAACTGATTGATTCTTCTAAAATCCCTGTATTTATATTTTTCGATTCCCCCAAAAATATTATCAATTACCTACCAAAAACGACAATGGGCGGTCGTTTGACCATCTATATTTCAATTCTATTGGTCGACCTAGATGTTATTCCAAAAATTAATTTCATCATTTAGAGGATGATGCAATCTGGGTCCAATTAATTAGGTGCTTAACCTTGTAATTGATCTTTTCCGGGTTCTTATTTACGAGTTCAAATGATGACACGTGCTTGGTCACTGATGGCTTGTTTAAAATTTGAACGTACCGATATAAATATTTTAATTAATTTGGGTCAATACCTTTGTTTCATCATCTTCCAATTTATAGATACTGATTTGAAATACAGGAAATTTAGTTTTTGATTATTTGATTACATTTAATTTTTAAAGTAAAGACATTGTAAATTACGGGTCTATTTTCCCGGGTCATTATAAGATTTTCCTATAATTCTTGAGGATGTTTTGATGTTCAAACATGAATAATCTTTTTTTATCAACATCCCTATCACCAGGTCTATATCTTCTAACTTCTGTGTGATTGAAATTATTGGTTTTAAATTTTAAAAACAAATTTTTCCTAAATATTATCGGATGCTTCTTAGTAGGGAACGTTTGTTCCAGGAGGCCGTACGCTTCAAAGTGCACGACCCGAAGGCGCACAGCAAAGGCGGTACCCTCGAGAGCACCGTCAACGGAGGACGAGGCGGCCGAGAAAGCGGTCCAGACGAAGAAGTCGCCGGAGGTCCTCCCATTCCTCAACACATCATGCACCCGAACAAGGATATCAACAAACTCTACGGAATCACGCCATCGGATATCGACAAGTATTCGAGAATAGTGTTTCCGGTCTGTTTCGTTTGCTTCAACCTCATGTACTGGATTATTTATTTGCATATTTCGGATGTGGTCGCCGATGATCTGGTACTGTTGGAGGTGGATAAGTAAGCTACTGAGATGGTTTTTTTCATGGTGGTACTACGGCAGCATTGTGAATTATATTTGGAAGGCAAATTTTGTTGAAAGGTTAATACTAATTAAATTATTATAGACATATTTGTCTTGTCTAAAGATTTAATCTAACCGCTTCAACAAAACTTGCCTCACAAAACCAACCAAAAGTGACAAACGGACTTACGAAAAAAAGGCAAAAGAGACTAATGGCAATCGATGCCTGTAAAAAAAAATAATGTTCTTTTAGATGAATGAGTCAACGAGTAGTAAATTTTAATAATTTATTTTTAAACATGCGTCAAGAATTACCATTTCCAGTTGTTTAATTCCTAATTGTGATATTAAATTATTGTTGATCGATTTTTGGCTGCGAACCAAATGCAGACTTTGTCTAAAGAATTAATGTTGTGGGAGATTTTCTTTTTCTTGTATTCACAGATATCGCGGAAAGAATAAAACTTTGAAGACCCTTACAAATTTATTGCCGTTTAGTCATACCTTTCAAACTTTCTGCCTGGATAAATCAAACTTTTTTGCTTTTTTTTTATAGGGTTTATTCATCATTGTCAAAAACAGCTCCCCAGAAATTATGTATTTTACAATTCAGAGGATAGGCGCAGAAAGGTGTTTTTTTTTTCAAGCTGTGAGAATATTTGTCTATGGAATACTTTCTACCTACATAGGGAAAAAGTTTTAAGAGTGTCGACAACACTGTCCGATTTAGTCGTTCGACTTGCCCGTTTGCCCTTGGAGTAGCCACAGCGTTTAGGACTAAATTAATATTGTATTTGTCACAGAAACTTTTAAAGGACGATGATGTGAAAGCAGTAATGATGCGGTGAGGACATCCAAAAGTATTAAATGCTTTTTCCAAAAAGTGAATCACTGGTCTACTTTTCGTGAATTTTGCAGCTTTCAAAATCACGTATTTTGTGAATGGGTCAATGGTGACAATAAGATGCATATTACCTCTCTTGGGCTTCTGGAAAGGTTCTAGGTGATAGATGTGAATCGTGTGAAAGGGGACAGGCTCTTTTTCTATGGGATGCAGAAACCCTTCACGACGTCCAGATGGGATTTTTGTGTATAGATATGGAACACAACTAGCAATATATTTTTCAACATACTCTTTCATGCGCGGAAACCAATATTTTTCGCAAAGCTTCTTCAGAGTCTTTTCAGCTGCGAAATGTCCTGCCTCGTCATGTGACCAACGCACAACTTGCCTTCTGAATCCATGAGGCACAACCCACTGTATCCCAATAGGAGTAATGCACTAGACGGGTTCCATTTCTTAGAGCATAGTTTTTATAAATGTCCCTGTCATAGTCAGGTTCTGGAGGTTTACTTAAAATGTCGTGGATCAATCGTATTTTTTCATCTGAAAGCTGAGCCGATAAAACCCATATTCTGCTTCTTCGAACCTTAAGACGAAGTTTTCTTCAGGCGGTTCTCCAGATTGGCATGGATTTCTGCTGAGCGCATCAACGTGTTGCATTCGGTTTCCAGGGCGGTATTCGACGGTAAAAGTGAATTCTTGTAGTTGGAGCCACCAACGAGCGACCCTAGGTATCAGATCTCTCTTGGAATTTGCCATTTTCAAGGCATTGCAGTCGGTCACTACCTAGAAATCAAGACCCAGCAGATATACTCTAAACTTCAGTAAGGTTTCCACGACTGCTAAAATTTCTAATTCTTACGAATGATATTTTTGTTCTGCCTTATTCGTATGACTGCAGTAATAAGCCACTGGGCTAAGACGAAATGTGTGTTGTTGCAATAATATTCCGGCGATACCATCTTGGCTGGCATCTGTGTGATCCTCAGTTGGCAAATTTTGGTCATAAATTGCAAGAATGGGACGTTCGATTAGCTTTTGCTTCAGGTCCTCAAATGCTCTATTTTCAGAATATCCCCAGTTCCAAGTGATATTTTTTCTCGTGAGCGATGTTAAAGGTCTGACAAGTGTGGAATAGTTTTTCACAAATTTTCTGAAATAGCCGGTTAATCCCAAAAACTGACGAACTTGCTTGACTGTCTTTGGTGTTGGAAACTGTCGTGTGGCTTCAATTTTGGCAGAACCAGGTCGTACGCTTTTTTTGTCTATCTCAAAGCCTAAATAATTAATTGGGGAGGAGAGAAAGACGCATTTCTTCATATTTAAAGTAAGATTCTCATTTTTCAGAACATCAAATATTTGTTGGAGACTTTCTAGGTTGTCTTCCGAATTTTTGCTGGGCAATATATCATCATCTAGGTAGACCACAGTAATATCGCGATATGGAGCTAATATCTTATTCATCATGCGTTGGAAAACTGCTGGAGCATTGCAAAGTCCAAATGGCATTCTGTTTTACTCATATTTTCCCTCTGGTGTTACAAATGATGTTAAGTGTTTACTTCCTTCAACTATCGGTATTTGGTGATATCCCGAACTGAGATCCAAACTGGAAAATATGGAACATCCCTTCAATTTGTTAATTTGGTCATCAATTCTGGGCAAGGGAAATCGATCTTTTATAGTTTTGAGATTAAGCTTTCGGTAGTCAGTACACATCCGATCCTTTCCATCTTTCTTCTTCACCAAAAGTACTAGGGAAACGTATGAAGAACTTGACTTGCGTATTATTCCAGCTCCTAGGAATTATCTTACTTTTTCTTTTTCTGTTTCGGCCATTCTATAAGGTCTGTATGTAAAGGGTCTATCTTCCAGAAGTTTGATTTCCATTTGACCTGAAGCCGCTTGACCAAGTTTTTCAGTTACAGTTCGGAGAAGGTCTCTTTATTCCTGAAGAACGGACGCTAATTTTTTCCTGGAAGATGGGTCAGAAGTTCCAATGTTTACATCCTCCTCGTTAATCAATGGTAGATTGTCCAGATCCACACGAAAAACTTGTTCAGACGAATTACTACTGTCTAGTTCACAAGCAATAGCTCTTAAGAGTGGATATTTATCACTCAATCTGAGATCTCTTCCAGACAAATTGATTATTGGGATAACGCGGCTGTTTCTTTTTCGGATAAATGGATAAGTATTCTAGGGATTGCATATTCCTCTCCTGGTTTACATCTGAAACTGCCTTCAATGTATAAATCCCTTTGAAACGGCGTTTTACTAGTGACAGTCAGATTCCCAACATGGTTAGAAGGAATTAAAGTTGATTCTGGTAGCCATGGCGCTATTTTATTGGGAGTCTTAATTGTTGAGACTCGGTGAATTTCAAACTATTACTGTCCTTCAGTATCATTAATCCAGGCTGTTCGGTAGATGATTGAACTTCTTGGAGACAGTCTGGAATGATTAAAGATACTCTTGAAAATCGTTTTTGCCTCCTATCTTTTTCCACGTCCACGCAAAATTGGTCACTTTGGCTGCACTGGATTGTGTGATACTGGATTGTGTAATATCGCATGTCTTCAGGTAACCCAATAATGCTTCATGGCTTCATGAGCCTGATAATCTTTAGCTCTAGCAGCTGCTTGCACCATTTGATCTGAAATTCCTCCAATTATACAGGACACTGCATCGGATTCGTAGATTTTGCGTTTATTCAGCAGAGCAACTTTTTCGTAATAATAGACCTAATAAGATTCATCGCTCCTTTTCTTACGCTGCATGATCTCACTAAGATTCTGGTGATAGTTAGAGAGTAAGTTAAACCTGGATATTACATGTTTCTTCTAACTTCGACGACTAGCTAGTGTGTGTTCCAACATCAGAGTAAAAGTGTAACAATAGTTCTGAGACACACAAACCCAAATTGTGTTAATCAAGCCGCATGCGAGGACCCCAAGCGCAAGCACAACTTGAAGAACGGCGCCAATTCCTTACAACAATCATACATAAGGCCATAACATTACCTTCAGTAATAAGGGAAGATCCCCCTACAACAATTGTAGGCAGGTTGCATAATTCAACCAAATCAACAACATAAAATGTGCACAATATCAAATCAATACTACATCATTACAGTACAACTCTATTATCTCAATTTATCTTCAATATCCCAAACGTCTAGTCACAGGGACACAGAGAACCTTTCAGCACACTTTCTCGACAAACTCTGTTCCCCTGTCTTTTTTGCCAGGTCAGGTAGGTACCTTTCTTTCCCTCCATTTTATAATAGGAAAGTTCAAGTATCATACAGAGTGTCTCCCTTTCTTATTATGCATTGGGTGAAATAAATATTCATGAAATTAGGCACAACAAAGTATAATAATATATTGAATAATTACAAGCTAATTGGATTTTATTTTACACGTAGGTACTTCAACGCCACTTCAATCGTGTTTCTGTTCAGGCCTTTCTTCTTATTGGCTCATTTTTCTTTTTCTTCAACTTTGGTTCTCCCTTGACTGTATTGGATTCCACTTTTAGGACCTATGTGAATGATATACCAGCTATTAACTCCATCCTTCTGTAATTGAAGACCCAAGTACTTTTCGCAAAGGTTCCGGCATTTATTTCAAAACTGGTTGTCGCCTGAATTTAAGTCAGGCCACCGGGTTGTATGCCACTGGCACCTGATTCTCGAAACAAGGAGCAGCGTTCTCATGAGAACAAATTTTCTGTCTTTGCCACTCATATGAGATTTTGCATGGAACTGACGATAGGGCACTTGTTCTCATCATAGGAATCCTGTTCCCCGTTTCAAGAATCAGGTGCCTGGAGCTTCGTGGAAATTCTATGAGAATTAAAATGATAATAAGCTGGACATTCTTCAACGAATGCACATTTTATAATATTCCGACATTGTTATATCATTCCTATTCTTGTTGTCGCTTTTGTGAAATCAATTTCTGGAAACCCTTCACATTGTTCTGTAGACAAAGTCAGTATACAACTTCGCACCATTTATTATTTATGTGATCCTGTATAGTTTTTTACCTAATATTTAATATTAAGTTTCTTTATCTAGTATATTAAAAATAATCTTCTAGTTTAGTTGAAATCTTAGACCTGGTCGTTCAGATAGAAAATGATTTATCTTCTGTCTGATATACTAGAGTCTTATTATCGTCTTCATAGACGCTAAACTAAACTGAAAAAGCGAAGCACTGTCAAAATATTTGTCACTTATTTGTTAATATTTTGAAAAGAAAAGTTTATTTGTTTGTTAAAATATATTTTCGTAGTTTATAGAGACGATAACTAAAAAAAAAATGATTTAGCGAATATAGACTTAACATTATTCAAAAAAACATTTTTGGTATAAAGGGTACCGTCATCTACCCCTTGTACCATTAATAACTTAACAATTGCCCATGTAAATATGACGTTCCTGTTTTTATACCTAACTAAAGCGCACCTACTCATTGAAAAAAAAATGCAATTATTTTTTAGATTAGAAATTATAGCACTTAAACACAAAAAGTCTTCTTGGGAGGGGGCGCAAAAAACCAATACCCGAGAAGCCTCCGACTCGTTTACAGGGTGTTCGAAGAAGAAATACCCGCAAACGCATTTTATAAAACAAAGCGTAAGAGCGCGACGACTATAATAGTCGCGTAGAAACGAAATTCTAAAATATGTAAAAATAATATAATGTAATTAAAATATATATATTATACACAAAAATGAAATGAAAATATATGCTTTCAGTAAAATCTCTTCAAAATTGAAAAATGGTTTTAATACACTATCGATAACACGAGATTATGCTGGAAGTATTCTAGATAGGTAAACGCGCGCTCGTAGCCCAAAAAACTCAGTTAAAAATATACCTAGTGAAACAATTAAAGAAGTTGTATATAATTTTAGATCTGCAGGTGAAATTTCAACGTATTAAGAAAGATCTACTACTACTACTACATAATATTTCGCCAATGAACGCCACTCTTTGATCAATAACTTTTTTTTTTCAAAACGTTTTTAATATGTTTCCAAAAGAGTGCGTTCATGACTTTGTTTATATTAAAAAAATATTTACACGAAAACACAGATACACAGTGTTTAAATAAAAATCTATAAGGTATTAAAAAATTTGTAGCACATGCACAGAGCAAAGAGTCTGACTATACGGAGCAATACTTATTATAGTACCGAAAAAAAAAACAGCTTTCTTTCTTTAATTTACACAAAAGAGAATCTAATGAGATTTGCAAGGATTTAACAACTAATGGCTAAATTTTAAGAAGGTAGGTACAAATAAAAACAAAGATTTATCTGAAAAAAATGAAAGCGACAGCTTAAGAACAAAGACAACAAGCAAATACGAAGAAATGTAGGAGAAGGCCTCGCTTCCAAGTCACACAAAAAACAATCTATGACTATGCATTCTATCAATGAAAGCAGTGAACCTGTATGTTATAGGAATTGAAGTCAGTCCAGTTGATCATATTTCTGGGAAGAAAGATAAGATACTCCAGACTCCCCAAGTCACCTTGTCTCTCATATCAGACCCTCAAATTAATATTTGGTGAATCTCCTCTGCACTTTTCCAGCCTGGACGCATCATAGCAGGCATAATAGGGAAGCTCAGCTTAAGCTAACTTTGGTGTATCTACAAACAAACCCGCCTTGAAAAGGCTTCAAGAATGTGTTGTCCACATGCTGTGGAAAGGAGAAGGTACTTTGCAAAATGGTGTCAAGGGTTAACAACCTATGGAGCACATTCTCCATCATGTGAATGTTGTCTGGGGGATCCCGACCATTATAAAAATGCACGTGTATTCTTTTACTTGGATTGATACTTGAGAGTTTGTTTAGCACCAGGAAATTACTCGCTATGTTGGGAACATCCGGGCAATTATTATCTCTTTGGAAGTCCAGCCAGTGGCGTGGATTTACTCTTAGGTATCTTTCCTACGAATACAATTTTATTTAGTTATTTATAATGAAGGTAATACGGGCAGAGGTAAAATCTATAAGCCCATTTTTGCACAGTTGAAATTAAGTCCGTCTATCAAGATTATGTTTTCGAACACTGACACTGAAGAGGCATTGACATTAGTGAATGGTAGTTGGTTCCAGTGAGTAAACACTCGGTTTTGCAAAAATTTCCCTCGACACACAACGCTATAGTTTTCCTTTTTAAGTTTTAGGTTGTGGCCTCTCAAACGTTTGTCGGTATTGAGAGTGTAAATATGCTCTATAGAGGATATTTGGCCGTGAACAGCTTGATAGGTAATAATGAGATCTTCTCTGGTTCTTCTATCGGAAACACAAATCAGTCCTTGATAGGATGGTCTTCTCCTGCCAAGTTGCAACCGCATGGTTTTTCTCTGCACAGTTTCCAGGTTGTTCTTATCTCTTATCAGATCAGGGTACCACACCTAACCTGCATATTCAAGTATTATTGGTCTGCAGTAGAAAATAAACAGTTTGTAAATTCTTTTTGGAGTATGTTGAGGAATACCTTTTTTAACAGAAATGATTGCTGTTTGCTCTAGGTACTGCAAATGTCGGTGATATGGGGAGACCAGGAAAGATCACTACATACCAGAATGCCGAGATTGTTACACTGGACAATACAATGCCATTGATGGAGTATAATCTGTTCGTGGGTTGTTCTTTCCAAGGTGCAATAGCTGCCAGTCCTCACTCCCATAAATCAGGTTAAGGTCTTCTTGGAGATCGGCTGCATCAGAGGCAGGAATGTAGATCTTTATGTCATCAGCATAACTTGCGCACGAGAATTTTATAAGGTCCAGTCAGTTGATCCAGTGTGTACAGTGTGTCCCATTTTGGTTGTCCATAAGGGATAACTCACCTATGAGAGAACCGAACCGAGATACAAGGGGTGTCCCAAAATGCAACTTTTTCAAAAACACCTTAGTTCTTTTCACGTGGCTCCGGTTTAACTAACCGGATTACAAAACGGTTAGAGAAATGACATACCGTTTTCTAACCCTGTTACAAAGTGACGTGATGGATACCTACCACTTGAATTTAAGCGGTATGTTGCGGTTTGTTAAACCGGAGCCACGTGAAAAGGGTTCTCGTATCTGGAAAACCAAAAGAGCGATGACAATTCTGTTGGCGCCATCTTCCGTTTGACAAAAAATTAGCCAACGTTGTCGGAAACCGCATCCTTCTAACTGTAATAGCAACCGAGTTATCCCTTATGGACAACCAAAATGGGACACACTGTACAACACAAAGAGCAGTGGGTGTAGCTCAGAGTCAGCAACTCTGACTTGGAGCTGTTTGTCTGAGACATAATCGCTGATCCAGTCCAGCAAGTTGCCCCTCATCCCTAAATGCTCCAATTTCATTACGAGTCTCCGTGCAGGCACCCTGCCGAACGCTTTGGCAAAATCAAGATAGATGACATCTAGGTACTAGCGTTTTTCGGTCTAGAAGCTTACCCAAGTCATTGAGACATGTAGTTGTATCTACTGCGTTTTAGAATGAAGCCATGTTGGTGAACGGGAATTAAATGTTCTGCAGCTGCAAAGTCTCTGACATGATCTACTATTACTCTCCATCATTTTGCCTATAATGGATAAGAGACTGATGGGCCATCTGCTAATCAGTTGGAAGTCTCGTTTGCTAGAAAGACATGCTCATTATTTGTGCTAGGGGGCGCAGAAGGCTTTCTGCACATTTTTTGAGCATCACAGTGGACATAACATCAAGTCCAGGAGAGCTAGTGGTTTTCAAAGGAAATTTGAGGTACTTGATAATCATTCATTTCCATTTCCTGGAGTTTCTTCAACAGTTAAGAATGGCATACACACTGTCAAATGCTCAAGACATTTTCAGGAGCCTCATAAGGATGAGAAAAATTATCTACGATTATACAAATGATGATATACGAAAAAACAAACACATCAAATAGTAACTGGAGCAATTATCTGATACTAAAATAAGAAATTTCCAACTTGACCGGGCAAACTTCTAGAGTTAACGAAACGCTTCCTGGAGAATCAAGACAATTAATATTTCGTCTGGAACATTACTATATAGAACAAGACTGACTATACCTGCATCCATAAGTGAGGAATAGGCTCGAGGAATGTTGAAGTTTTGACCCTTATTTCCAAGATTTGGGAGAAGTCTTGCGATGTCGCAGCAAAAGGTCTACACCTAAGTTGCCTCTCTTCCATCTACAAAAGATCAGAGAAAGTATACTGACAAAAAGTGAATGGTATTTTCATTGATAACAATGCACAATTGCTGAACTCCAACTTGTCAGAGTATTCGTACAGTTAACTCAAGCCTTGTAAAGAAAAGCTGCTACATGAGGCATTATATTTCTTGGTGTCCACGAGACCTAAAATATAAGTAATTTGTATGGAATTTAAAATATGAAAGTTCTCATAATTCGAACGCAGATTACAATCTAGTTGTTGAAAAATTCATTAGAAAGAAGCATCAGAGATTACCTACCTAAAACAAAAACACTTCCCAGAATTATTAGATAATAGAAAAATCAGTAGTATGCATATTTATACAGTCACGGAATCAGTTAGTTGGGAGTTGGGATGAAAATGAAAAACCTGGATAATAGAACATGTTCAGGAATAGACGAAGTTGAAGAATTTCATGCTGAACTTGATGCTATCTTTAGAAGCATAAAGAGTAATATCACAGTAGTTATGGGAGATTTCAACGCCAAAGTGGGCAAAGACAAGGTCGAAGCACACACAGGGAGTTTTGGCCTGACAGAAAGGAATATTAGGGGGGATCGACTGGTAGAGTTCTGTCAAATTAGAGATCTTATGATAAAAACCTTCTTCAAACTACAATATCGTAGATTATACCTACACCTGGAAATCCCATGCGGATAACCCAGGAAATACAGTTAGAAACCAAATAGACTATATCCTCATTACCAACCGGTATAAGAACTCAGTCAAAGCTGAAAAAACATAACCAGGGGCTGACATTAATTCCGACCACAACCCACAACAGCTAAACTTGATATAAAGTTGGAAGTTGGAAAAGATAACAAAACGTCTCATCAACTATATAGACCCAAAACTCCTTAAGAATTCTCAGTCATGAATTCAGTTGAGAAGGATGCCATCGAATGTATGGGAAACATTAATAAAGTGTGGATGAAAAGTGAAATAGATACAATCAGGACCAAAAAAATCTAACAAGAAAAAGAACCAAGAAAAAGTCCTGGATAACATCAGAAATTCTAGATCTTATGGAAGAAAGGCGAAAGAGCAAAGGCAATAAAGATGAGTACAGGACACTACATAAAGTAGTACAGAGAACTGTATATTTTCTGTTTATATTTATGATTCCGCATACCTACTGGCCAGAATAGGGCTTCACGTCCCAGCAAGGGACACCCGCTCTGCCATAACCTTCTCAGAAAGAAATCACCGTACAAACTATGGTTTCAATACATTCATCTCCAGAACTTCTCGATTATGTAACACCCATGGTAGCCTGGATTTTTTTGGACCCATAAATAGCTTTAAAAGAGAGCTTAACTCTCTAATGTAATTCTCCTCGTTTGTTTGTGATGCCAAGTTCGATAGCTAAGAATTTCTAGTCATCTTGATCAGTCATTATTTATGTTTGTCCTCTATTTTCTTATACCTATAACTGATTTAATGTTTTACTGTTAATAATTTATATGTATTTTTATCCTGTTACTACGCCAAGTATTACTGGCCTATGTTTATTTAGTTGTAAGGTACTTAATGTTTCTTGTTGTTTTTTTTTTTCTTTTGAAACTTTTAATGGGTCTTGCCCGTAAATAAATAAATAAATAAATAAATAAATAAATAAATAAATAAATATTTAGGTATATCATGTCAAGATTATTCTGGTTTGTTTAATTCATAATCCATTAGTGAAAAGTATCGTCGATATCACATCTCCACTTCTGATTGGAATGAGATTGTGTGGTAGTTCTGTAGATGTTATGAATATAAGCTGTCTGTATCTTGAGACAATGTCGATTGCTTTCTCACACACAGCTAGATGGTGAAGTTTGTGTCCGTTGGTTTTTCTTCTGAGAATTTTTATGATAAGGTCCAGAAGTAGGTACTTGTTACCACCGCCACCTAGTAAGGGAGAATTTGTTTTAGCACTGGTAAAGGCCTTTTTGTATATACTGCGATAGCGTGCCACCAAGGACTTTGTTTAAAGTCTCACTGAAAATCTAGGTAACTTTGATTGGATACTTTTTAGTAATCTGATTAGATTGCCTTTTCCAGTGCGGGTTCTTGCTACCTGAGCTGTACGCAATTAGTTGGAATGCTAGCTTGGGGTTTTCCAAAGGAAATAAAAGAATCAGTTTTTCTTACTAAACTCTAACAATGGTTCATTGAACAAATGGTAAATCTTGGTAAGTAAATGAAAGAAAAGCGAAGAATTTACAGTAGGTTATTAACAATGTTTTCTGAAATGGATGAAAGAAAATACATACGGAGATTTGGAATGATAGAGAGTGAAATTATTGAGCGTCCTGTATAAAGCGTTCCTTGATGGTACAAGTTACATGAGAAATTAAAGATTAAAAAATACAGAAAATAAAGATTAGGTTATAATTCTTAGTGGGTGAAAGTCACGGGCGTCCTCGACAAGGGAATGACAAAACGGCCTTGTTATTCAGGGTAAGATACATGTTGGAAAAGAGATTTGAATTGTGAAGCTAACCCAATGGTTTTGTTTTTTACACAGGGGAGAAAATAAATAATGGATAGAAAACAACAATCATGATGAATAAATTAAAATACTTGAAATTGAAACATTACCTGAGGTCTCGGAAAAAGAGTCAGCAGAAAGACGTCAACACTAAACACCAGAACTTCGTTACAGAACTGAATCAATCTAGGAGACTCACAGGCTTATTTATATCGGCAGCTTGATGACGCTTTTGGGATTCTTATCGGTCGCAAAACATGCAGTTTGTTTATGGAACCAGGAGTCGAGAGTCGTATTCTAAGACACAATCAGGGCACTGTTTCGGGATCCGACTGATAACCCTTGGCTCTTGACACGGTTTCGTCAGAAATTTAGCGACCTAATCTCGCTGGGAAAAAACCAATCAATTGTATTACGAAGCGAAAAAAAAAGGATTTGTAGGCCGTTTTTTTACATATATTATTTACTAAGTCAATGGGGGGACCCTTTCTGATATCAGTCCTATCACATTTCTTGAAGAACATGGCTAGTATTCCATTTAGCTGGTACTTCCAACTATCACACATTCACCAAGGTATCTAGACACAAATAAGGACATATACATGCAAGTTGTGTGCAAGGTGATAAGATGATGTGAAGCGGATAGGTGGACTAAACTGGGAACAAACAGTACAGAGATCGCTGGCATAAGTTATTAACGATCTACTATTCAAAGCTGAAGGCGTGTCACTGGAAGACACGAATTATAGAGAAAGTAAAAAGAACTGAGTTGATTTTGCGTTTAAATTGATATTCCTGGAAAATTTAGTGATGATGAGCAGCAGAAAGCTAAAAGTTGGTAAATCCTTGCAAAAAAAAAGAGGTTAATAGAAGAATTTGCGCACTTAGCACACAAGATCAGCGAGTATAAAATATGCCGAGATCCAACACTGACGATAATGTACAAAGACCCAAAATTTTATGTTTAAGATTAGGTTTTTTTTTTGTCGAACGCACAAATCGTTAGAGGGAAGGCGGGGGAAATTACTTAAAAGGAATATTATTATTAATTCTCAAATTGAGAATCTGACAGGAGCGACTTTCCAGTGCCTAACCATTATAAAATGTACTCCAAAAATTTCCAGTTTAATGAAATAATAGAACGCATTTGGAAAGTATAAAATCACTATAATAATAATAATACAAAAGTCCAATAATAATTGATCATTTATTTCTAGGTTTGTCAAAAATGGCTGTGCACACACTATTTTTATAGATTTTAGAATACTTAACTATTAGATGTAATAATTATTGTTACCTATTATAAAAACATTAATTCATTCTTTGTAATTTTTATGGGTCTTGGTACATCGCCATTTTTAACATATTACTGTCGGTTGGGGACACAAACTTTTTTTTTGTATTTCGAAAATTTGGCACCTAACAAACCTCTATAATATTTAGTGGGCACCAAACAATATAAAAACATGATTATTTTCTTGAATTTAACACATTATTATATCACACAATTAAAAATTTGGGCTCGATTCTTAACTTAATTTTAAGCAGTAAAAGAAATATAGAATTATAATAATTATTATTATTATTAAAAGGGTAGACCATTAGATGAAGAAAAAAAAACGGATGCAAGTGAAACTGTGGCTTGCTTAATTATGTCAGTGAAGGCCGGCTCGTTGTGTGAGGACAAAAAATATACATATATACTTTTTTTTCCTCAATTAATTTTCATGATACGCCACTCTGTCTTTCACATATGGTACCTACATTATATTCTTTTGTGATGAAAACTTTTTATGTTACTCATTTCGGTTAATTAGTTGGCTCATGAGTTGGTAATAAATTTATCACACTAGTACGGTAACGATTAGTATACAACTCAAGTTAACCGAAATAGAGGCAATAACTCAATGGGTTCTTATCCTATTCTAGAAAAAATACCTAATGCAAAATCCAATGAACAAAATAAAATCTCGTGTGCGTATAATTCTTTCCAATCAAAATAATAAAATAACGTACGGGCCTTGTAGTGGCGTTTCATGCCAAAAAAGAAGAATAATTTTTTGGGCGTTCAAGTCCAAAAATCGCGTAATAGAAAATTTAAATAAAAAAAAAGGGCCACACCCCCCTTTACACCGCATTGCGGGTGACTTATTGCTCACTTACAAAATATTCTAAATAATAAGAGAAAGTTGTATTGTATTATACTTACTGGGGTTTTCTTCCAGCAATTTGAAAGGAACGTTTTAAGCAAAATGTTACTATATTTTTGCGTAAGGCCCTTCTGGTTGCTGGGCGAACATTCGAATCATTCCAATTATTTAATTACTTATATTATAATTATTAAAGATGAAATAAGGACTACGTATTGCGTAGATATATACTGTTTGGCGTTTTTATTTGAATAAAAAACTATAAAATCAAAGTTTTGCGTTTTAATAATTAATTTGGCCTATTATAAGTGTAAGAAAGTTTAATGGAATAACCAGGATCTCTCCCGGTCATTGCAGCAGTCTCTTCCTTTGCTAATTGAGTACACTAGTACACTCGCGCTAGTGTGAACACACGCTTCTGTGAACCTCCCAGTAGTATGAACAGTCCGAATGAATACATTATTCTGTAGTGTGAACTTTTGAGAATCTCGGTAGTATGAACAATGTATTTAACTACGAATTTAACCGTTTTCTGCCTACTTGTTGTTTTCATGTTTCGAGACAAGGAATGCACAGGGTCCTTATTCTTGAAAAAGGGGAGCAGCGTTCCCAGGAGAACGAGCGTTTTGTCTTTCACTCTTATGTGAAATATACCATGTAATAGGCCGGCATACACACACGTTATTTCGCGTGGTTTATCGTGGCATTTTGGGATGTAGCGGTTAGCATGCGCGAAAGAACGGTGTGGCAAAAAAATCCTCATGTTCCATACACTTGACAAAGTTTCAAATGATTTAGCATGTGATTACGCGTGGCATATCAGTTTTAAAAGAAAAATCCTATGTGTGTAGGCAAAAAGTGTCATTTATCGTGTCGTTTGAAGGTGCATGTGGTCATGTACTTATTTTCAACGTGATAGTTCGCTTCGCGTCGTTTATGTTTTCGTAGTAGCCTCAAAACCGTGACGTGGATTGGCGTGTGCACTGACGCCGAATACATGGGGGCATCGGGGCAGATGCACCCATGAGCAACCTCTCACGGGTGCGGAGCACCCATGAGAGCTCTCGTGGGGAATGCGGAAGTACAAACGTATTTGTTGCTCATTCCGTTCCATCAGTATCATGTACACTTGGCCAATCATAAAACTGGTACGCATTTTTATATTGTGTAAATCGACCTTTTTTATCACCTCAACAATGACAAAAAGAGTCAAGTCAGTGTCATATTTAAACCAATCATAACATAAAAACATGTCGCATTTACTTTTGTTCAGCTTTGACGTTGACAAAAACTGTCTGACCTTAGTTTTTCAGAGGAGACTTTTTGTTCTTAAGCCTGACTCATACTAGGCAAATTTGAAAAACATATATTGCCTGTACCAGTTTTATGTTTGGCCAAGTGTAATTTAAATTTACACAACTTTGTATAAGAATTATACAGGGTCCGAACAGATTTGTAAAAATTTTAACTTATCAGGCTCGATATTTTCCACACTTCTACCAGCTCTGGGTCGGCCAATATGGCTGTTCTTCACTGTTGTGCCTTCTGCTTCAAATTTTCTAACCCAGTGTCCGAATAAAGGACGTGTCGGCGCTTGATGAATGTCGGTGTAAGTTCAAATGTGCACGAAAAAGGCGACGAACTTGGATATATGAATGGTTGTTCTCATAAAATGCTTTCACACAGAAAGCGAGCTGCGGCCCTGTGGATCGCTCCATGGTTACGTTACTGAAATTCCAAGATGCACGCTCAGCATTGCATCAGCTCAGATTCCCCCACTCCTAACGGTTCTCGAGAAATATAACAAAGAAATCGTGATAACCGTTTCGGACACCCTGTACAAGTGAAGCGGTATTAGTATTCTGTCCTTTCGTTATTTGTGGTCAGTTCTATGCTCTATTACTTTATGTTGCTGTTCTCCATCTCTACTCTTTGATAATAATCAGGACAGTCCGGTCCACAACGGGAAGTCTGGCGCTTGCGCTGTATGCCATATATTAGTTTAGTTTTGCGCGTGGGTAGGGATGGCAATGATATATCGATATTTTGTAAATATCAAAATATTACTCAAATATATCGATATAATCTTTACGATATATCGGAACTTTTATAATAATGCCTTCCCTCGTGCGCATAGGTCGTTGGTTTACAGTGACCCTCTGACAGTTGACAGAGGCGACTAAAATAACACAAAACGTCAGTTAGGTCGTATGAGTAGCAATTAAATGAGAGAAAGACTTTTCACATGAATGAATACGGAATTTTTTTTTTTCTTATGCCGTACGGAAAAGTAATTTTCCGCACGCATTTTAGGATTTGAAAGTACCAGGGTGACTTAACATTGCATAATTATTTTAATTTTTCGCACTAGCTATATTTTCATGGCCTAAAATGCGTGCAAAAAAAAGCACTTTTCGCACGCTCGTAGAAACAATTTTCCGCCTCCGGCTAGCTTCCCTCTCCCCCTATAAACAAATTTATGTAGTTGTTATCCTGCACCCATGAGGACTTTCAAAAGTCGGCGCCTCTGGGCGTGTGGATGTACTGCTGAGTACTGATGCAACATTCCAGATGAAAGCACGTCTGAAATCCTTCCCTTTCTATCACTGCGTGCAGCCTTCCTAATTCACGCACATGATTTTTCACAAGTTTTTGCAGATGACACGATAAACCGCGCAAAATAACGTGTGTGTATGCCGGCCTAATAAACAAGTGGCAACGCGTCAAGAGCACATTCCAAAGTCTGTTTGTTGTGGTCAATCAGTTTTGTGAAAATGGAGAAAAACACAATTATTTTTTAACTCGCTATGGGTCTGTTCTCACAAGAGTTTCTGACAGTTTGCAAACTGTCAGAATGCATCGCCCATGCATGTTTTCATTGCCGTCGTTCCAAGATAAATCAGTAACTTAAAGGATTTTTTAACGACTGGCCGCTTGTAACCTTGTTATAAATGATAACTGAAATTAGGCCTTTTCGGAAACGCTTATCCGATAACCCGATCACCAGCTGTTTGTTTTTTGTCTTTCTTTAATGAACACGATTTAAGAAAGACATAGTACATCAGCTGGTGATCCGGTTAATAAGATCAGCGTTTCCGAAAAGGCCTAATTTCAGCTAAAAAATCCTTTATGTTGAGCGATTGTTACTGAAGTTTGCAAACTGTCAGGGACTTTTGTGAGAACAGACCTTATGAGAAGTCAAAAATTCTAGAAGATTGCCATTAGGGCAAGAGCATATTGGCGTTAATGACACAGAAAGCCTAAAAAGTTTTCAAGACAAAGTAGATAGTCATCCAGTGGTCAGTTAGAATTATTCAGACAAAAATTACGTCTCACTTTAATCAATAAACTGGGAAAATTTACTTAATGAATATACTTGCAAGTACCTATTGTAATAATGTTTGCTAAACTTAAAGTTTAGGGACCATTGCTGAGAGTATTTTGCATTTTAAGGTAGACCTTCGATGGTGTGAACGTCTCGATAATATGAACACGTCCGACTTTTTTGTGTTCACACTAGCGCGAGTCTACTGCACAACCAAACGCCTTCATTACATTTCCTCTATCTCAGTGACTGCCGTTTGTTGAGCTTCATCTGCAGCTGCATTTTATAACGTATTCTATTCTTGGCAGAATGTGTTGTGTAGGTCATCAACATAAACAGAAGGAACAGCTTCTCTGTGGTATGCCAAACATTCGATCTATGGAAAGCTTCATCCTTTTTCTCTATTCCAGTTAAGGCCGTCGAGGGTGTATAGCTGATGGATTCATTCAAGAAGCTCCTTTCCGTAATAGTACGGGAGGTACCGTCACTTTTGAACAAGTCATTTCATTCAGTGTGATTTTTTTGTCATTGGTAGTTGAGTTGCTATATTGTTAATAATAAGGTAAATGACCGTCAGATCATCAAGTAGTGGGGGGTGCACGGTGCACTTGTGAGAGGCTGAGAAAGTTGTCAAAAAAAATTGTCTACAAAGTCATTTTAGTCACGCTGAAAATTGTTCTGATGGACATTTTCTATGTAAATTTTATTAAAATAACCGTCAGACGTCGGTCGGTATGCGGGTGGAATGGTCGTCAGCTATGCATAGGTAGTTGTTGTAAAATTTTGAAAATGAAGTCATAGTATCCACTTTGAAACTGCAAAACGACGCCGACGGACGTCTCACACTTGAACTAATAGGTTAATACCTACAATGATTTTTTAATGCAATTTTTTTTATTCAGGGATATATTTTTGAAATCAGCACACTACAGATGATGAATTTGATTAGATAAAATTATATTTCCCCATCTTCGTATTCAGAGTCAGTGGCCTCCAGTGATCTGTCATCTTCTAGCGCAATATCGCCGGATTCTACTTCTTCCTCATCATCTCTCCAATCTGTATCTTCTGTATTACCTATATGAAAAAATGCATAGATATAAAATCTGAGATGGAAAGTGTAGGTATATAATTTTCATAAAAATAAGTGTGTTCAAATACCTACAATATTTTCGTCTTCATCTTCTATGACATCGGTTATACTAGATATAAAAGGTAATTGATCGCCTTCGAACAATTTAAATAAATATTTCTCATCTTCTCTCCACCCGTACTGAGTAGGAGATAAAACAGTAGGGTTTTTGATGGTAAGCATGACTCCCCATTTGGGCTATATAGGTATTTCTCAATAGGTGTTGACGTAATTCCGATCTACAAGGTGGTAGTGCAGAGCCGTCGAAATTATGATGCACTTCCAGGATATCTCAATTTCTTGTTACCTTGTATGTTTCCATAAAATGGGCAACTCGTACCAAATCGACATCATTGATATTTTTATATCCATACATGCAACATACAACGTGAGGCTTTCGCGGCCCAGGTTTATTGATAAAGTGTTTTCATTCGGGCTTGATGGCCGTCGTAAGTTGTAATTTCTTCCTAAAGTTTCGCTAGCACGCGTGGCTAGCATCTTCAGAGGTGCTTTCATGTCCAATTCTGGTAGCAGACTGTCGAGTGTCGAGTTCTCGACCGCAAGTTATATTTATGTGTGATTGATTGTGGTGGGAGAGGGACGAGGCTTCGCAGCATGTGGCTTATCTGTACTTTCTCTGTACTCAATGGGATCTTTGGAAGAAGTTGGCTATGACCGGGCTGGCGGACTTTCCATAGCCTCGCCGTCTATTTGCTCGTAGAAATCGCCGTTCCACAGAAAGTAACTACCAGTGAGACATGTCCGGAAGAGCTCAACTATGTCATTGGGGAAG